GCTGGTATTCTGGATTGAGGTGATGTGGGTGGGCACAGCCCTCCAAAGCAGGGGGACCACCCCCTCTCCACGTCGTGTCCCGGCTGCTCTACTTCCAATCCAGCTGCCTGGTCATGTGCCTGGGGAAGCAGAAGCTGACGTAAGTGCTTGGGTCCCTGCACCCATGTGGGACACAGAAGAAGCTCTAGGCTTCAGCCTGGCCCATCCCTGGCTGTGGCAGCCATTTAGGGAGTAAACCAGCAGGTGGAAGTTCTCTCTGCAGCTCCCTTCACCCTCCGTGGGGAACTCTGCCTTTCACATACATAAAACCAATCCTTAAGGAGAAGCACGGTGGGTGCTCCCTCTGGAAAGAGTGTTGGTGCTGGAGTGCCAGAGCCAGCCTGGGTCCCCAGTTCTGCCCAGCCCCGTTCATCCTCACTCGGCCTCCTGTCTCCCCGGCGGCTGGGGACAGCTGACAAAGGAAATTGGAGCAGTCACAGCTGGCTGTGTCTCACGTACACGCCAGTGCAATGCATTGGCTGCTGCAAACACAGAGGGAATGGCAGGTTTCCAGCGCCTGCCAGTCCGAGTCCCAGCCAAGGTTCTGTAGGGCCTGATCCAGTCCATTCGCTGCAAGCTGCTGGGCAGGGCTGGCCCCTCGCTCCCTGTTGGGAGTCCAGACCCGAGAAGGCCGCAGCAGCTCGGGCCCAGGTGCAGCCTGGCAGCACTCTAGCTGTGTTTTGTTTTCTTGCCTTAAGATGGGAACTCTTCTCCCAAGGCAAGCTGTTTTAGGTAGATTCCTGGAGTCACAGGTGGGCTCTGTGTGTTGTGCCCTGTGAGGCTTAGCCACCGGCAGCCAGTGTGCAGCAAGTCCTCTCCCGTCTTACCCCAACCCCAGTGGGTCCCGACCCACCCTTGCCCTGCTGCCATCCTGCCCGACAGCTGCCAGGGTGTTCCATCTCTGGCTCACCTTTTCTGGACTGTCGCATAAACAGGTCCCGACAGCCTTCCCCGGCTGGCTTCTTCCCTGTGGCTGTGGGCCGGCTGTCAGCTGGTGAGCATGCCTGTGTTTGCTTCTGACTACCCTGAGCGGTTCCCATCCACACACTGGCGAGACACGGTCCTTTATTTGTCTTGAGGGTGTAGCTTGCCTGGAGGCGGGGAGTCCCGTGGCAGGTGGATGTGAACTGGACAGGAGCAGTCTTTGCTGTGTGTGTGTGGTGGCCACTGTGGGAAGCTGCACTTGTGTCTCGCCGTGGGTTCAGGTCGTGTCTCCCCCGTAAACAATGAGGTGTTAGTTGCCCCTCGCACCACGTCCCTCCCTGTCTCCTCCGATGACGCGCCTGCGCTGTCTTACGAGCCTTTGTGTTTCAGCTGGGCTGAGGAGGTTTGGGGGGCATTTGTGAAACATCATGGTGCTCATACGTATCCAGGCTGTGTCCTGTGCGTTAGCCACGCCTCCGACAGCCCAGCTTTCCTGTCCAGCCACTGCTGTGGCCTTTGGTGGTGGTTGATCCTGTGTGTCTCATCTCATCTTTGCCCTTAATACAAACCTGCGAACATCTCTCCTTCACACATTTTCTTCCAGAAGTGTCTAGAGTTTGTTCTTTGGTGTGAGAGCTCATGGTCCCCCACGGTGGTGTGGATCAAGGAAGGTGGGATGTCCAGGTGCCAGTTCTCCCAGGATGGGCCTTGGACTGGTCTCATCTTGGACTGCCACTCATCTTGCTTGCTCATCTAGAACCTTCCCGCCTCATCCCTCCACCATCCTTAAGAAGGATGGATTCAGGAGCTGGGGCCCTGCTTGGCTGTGGGGAGCAGTAAGGACATTATCGGGGTCTTCTGCTGAGTGGCAAAGAGCATGCGGAAATTAACCAGGATTCCAGTGGAATCCCCGGAGGTCGCGGGAGCTGCAACCTTCCCAGGCCGTCTGCAAGTCCTGGAACGCACTTCAGCCCGAGAAGGAAGGGAGGGAGGGTCCCTCGGGGGCCCAAAGAGGATGTGAGTCTGGGGGCGCCACTGCCCGTAAAAGGAGAGACAGGAAGCGGCCACCGAAGGGGGAGAAGGATTTCCTTCTATTCATGGAGGGCTTGGAATGCTGGCTGGGAAATCCCCGCCCCGGGGTCCTGATGGGTAGGAGGCAGCTGAGCTGGGAAGCCTGCACTTCCTCCTCTGGCCCAGGGCAAGCTTTTGCTCCCTTCCCCTGAGCCATGTTGTAAGGGGAGGACACACAGAGTGGAACCAGCTCGGGGTCCCGCATATGCGGGCGACCCGTCTGCCACCTTCGCTGCCATGTCTGGGCTCGCAGGGTGCTCCTGCACCAGTGCGGCTGGGATCGTGCTGGGTCCAAGAGGGCCAATGGGTCAGGGCTGGTGGGGCAGTGGGCCAGCAGTGTGGCTTCTCCACTGCCCGAGCCACTGTGCCCCCAACATCCCAGGAGATCTCAGAACAGGACAGCCCTCACCACATCCAGCGTGTGCCCCCTGAGTGTCACTGAAACCCAGACCCAGACAGGTTTCGTTCAGGTTCATGTGCAGCCGCCCTGTGCTGGCTCTGCCTGGCTCTGAGCCCCGCCTCCGCTGCCACCCCATGGCCATCGCACAACTTTTCTTCAGGACCATGGGGAGCAGCTGCCCAGCATCCAGCCCAAATCAGACAGGGCCCCTCACTCCGTGTCTCCCCGGTGCCCGAGGGGCTGCACTGTCCCTATGCTTCCCCCCCCCCCAAGGGCCGCACTGGACATCCCCACCTTCCCTGGGCACGGGAGGCAGGAAGGTGCGCGGCTCCGGCCTCTCGGCCCCTCCGGGGCTGGCCACTGGCCAGGTAAGGGAGGTTTGATGGAACTGTTCTCACCCAGGATGCAGTGGGGGTGAGACGCCGCTGAAGGAAAGCCCTGCCCGGATTCTGTGCAGTTTTTATCTTTACTATCCATCCATATACTAGGAAAGGAACAGATGGAAACGGTGTTTCCATCAGCGACTTCCCGCCCACAGCCGGACAGGATGAGCATGAAGGGGTGCTCGCTCGGTCCAGCTGCTTGGCACACGCGGGACTTCCTTTGGAGATGGGCAGGGCGTCCTGGGGATGACCAGCACTCGCTTTCCAGGAGCACCTTGGCCTTGACGTCAGTGTCTGTCTGGCCACAGCAGTGGCACAGGGTTCACGGTGTGGGCGGCAGTGAGGGCTGCTCTCCGGGGACTTGGGCTGGGCCGGGTCTGGAATGTTCCATCCTGTCAGGCTCAGAGGTGACACATCTTGGCACACACTTGGGAAATTGTGAGTGTCAGTGAAGGTGGGGGCCCTGGCTGAGGTGGAGGCGGACTGGGGCAACCACTGAGGAGGGGTGCAGGGGACTTCGCGCAGGCTTGTCACAGAGTCCAGAAATCCTGCTGTTGCTAAATGTAGCCATGAGCACTGAACAAGGTCGCCCTAACACTGGTACACACGGGTTCACGCTAGCTGGAAGCCAGGAGACTCCCAGATGTCCATGGCTGGCTGGGTGGGCACGTGTACCATGCGATCCTCATAACTATCAAAATGAAGGTGGAGCTAGGGCTGTGGTGTAATAGACCAAGCTGCTACCTATAGTACCAGCACCCCATATGGGCACCAGTTCAAGTCCCAGCTGCACCACTTGCAATCCAGCTCCCTGCAAATGTACCTGGGAAAGCGGTGGAGGGGCCAAGTGCTTGGGCCCCTGAGCCCACCTGGAGACCCAGATGAAGCTCCTGGCTCCTGGCTCAGATGGGCTCAGCTCCCACCGTTACAGCCACTGAACCAGCAGAGGGAGCTTCTGTCTTTGTGCAGAGCTCCTCTGTAACGTTGCCTTTCAAATGAAAATAAAAGATTTTTTTTTTTCTATGTGGGAGCCCATATAGAATCCTGACACTTCCAAGGCAAGCATTTAGCCGCCGAGCCATCACACTAGCCCAAAGTGAATAGATCTTAAAAATGGTATCGCTGCAATGCCAGTAAGCCTCGAAGCATTAGGAAGAGTGCAAGAAGCCAGACCCCTGGGGCATGTGCTGTGTGGGATAGCTTTGCTATGACCCCCCAGGGCTGCACACATCCCTGCAGCCTGGGTGTGGCACCTCCCAGCCAGGCCTTCCTGGCAGGCTGACTCAGAACCCTGCAACTGCCCAGAGATTGCAGTTGCACGGTGTTGGGAGTGACAGCCACGCAGCCACGGGCCTGCACTGGCTGTGGCTGCCACAGGCATGTTACCTATGGCCTCACTCCGGGCCCGGCCCTGCCGTGGGCCCCAGAACCAGGGTGACACAGGCCAACTTACAGTGGCGTGGAGGAAGCAGCGGCCACTCCCCCCACCCAGCCCTGAAGACAGGGTAATGAACACAGGAGTGTGCTTCTGGCAGCTGTGGGCAGGCAGGAGACAACACCCCTGCTGAACTGTGAGAGGAATCTCACCATTGCCTTGTCACTCCTGGCTTGTGTCAGCCCAACGCCTACAGGATGCCCCCGAGGGCACTGAGATGCCAACACAGCCTTCTGTCTACCTCCCACACTGATGGGCGTCCAGGTGGGGTCCCAGCCTCCGGGGCCCTGCACAAGGCTGCTGGGAACACTGGGGTGCAGGCGTGTGTTCATGACCTGTGCTCAGGCTTTGCTGGGGCAGAGGTGGGGGGCACAGCTGGGCCCGTGGGCTCTCGTTTCCCCCACGTCCTCGCCGACACTGGTCACTCTTGCTGCCCTCACGAGCATGGGCATACGTTTTGGTTCTCTGAACCCCTCGTCTGCTCTGAGTATCTGAGTAAGAGGCGACATGTCTAGGTCGCTTTGCTGTCTGGGTTAGCTGTGTTCTACCTGCGGCGGTGACGCAGTGCAGGTGTAACAGGTGTTTGTCGTACTTAACAGCTTTTCCTCCCCAACCCTGTGGCCTCCTCTTCCAAGTCACCGTGGCTGGCGATGCTATTGTCGCTGGCGGGTCCTCCAAGGTGCCAGCTCAAGGAAGGACTGGAAGGAAGTCCGTGCTCATGGAAGCTGACCATGTGCTTCTCCCACAGGGCCAGCCCGGGCCTGTGGGCCCCCAGGGCTATACTGGACCCCCCGGCCTCCAGGGCTTCGCAGGACTGCAGGGCCGCAAGGGCGACAAAGGCGAGAGGGGTGCCCCTGGAATAACCGGACCCAAAGGAGATGTGGTATGCTGACCCCTGATCCGCTGCAGGGCTGTCCCATGGTGTGGGGGGTTTTGGGGGTGCTGGGTGTGGAGCTCCCCCAGGGAGTGTGGGTGCAATTTGGAGACCCAGGTGGGCCACTCCTGGATGTATGATAAACTTGGGGGTCCAGGTGGGGTCCCCTCTTTGGGGTATGTGTGGGATTTTGGGGTCATGGGTTTGGACCACTTCCCAGAGTTAGGGGCATAGGGGATTTTGGGGTCCAGGTGGGACTTCCCTGGGGGTGTGTATGGGAGTTAGGGGCCCTTGGTGTAGGCTGTCCCCAGTTACATGGGGGCTGGTGCACAGAAGACTGTTAAAGGATGTGTGGGGAATTGGGGAATCTGGGGGGCCATCCCCAGGTTTGTGAGGGAGACTCAGGGGCCTGTGGGACCCTCCCTGAGTGTGTCTGTCTTCCTCCCAGGGAGCGAGAGGCGTCTCTGGATTTCCTGGCGCTGACGGAATTCCTGTAAGTCCTTTGAAGATTTTAGGGATAAACCATGACGTGCATTCTAAGCAATACATTGAGCACTTAAAGAAATATGTTGCACAAGAACTCCTTTTTTGTTTACAGCATAAAGCACCTGGGGGGTGTGCAGCTGCATCTCTCTCCCCAGGACCCAGACACGGGATACGGGCGTTCTTACAGAAGGCCTTCAGCAGCACACGAGCTCGGCCATGAAAGCCGAGTGTGAGTACGAGACACACACACTGAGACTGCCCCGGACCTCAGCTGAGCTCCGTGCCGAGCCTGCAGCTGGGGCACAGCACCAGGCCGGCTGAGTATGCCGAGCCTACAGCCAGAGCACAGCACCAAGCCGGCTGAGCTCCGTGCCGAGCCTGCAGCCGGGGTGCAGCACCAGGCTCAGCTGAGCTCCGTGCCGAGCCTCCAGCCGGGGTGCAGCACCAGGCCGGCTGAGTATGCCGAGCCTCCAGCCGGGGCGCAGCCCAGGCTGGCTGAGCTCCATGCCAAGCCTGCAGCCGGGGTGCAGCACCAGGCCAGCTAAGTATGCTGAGCCTGCAGCTGGAGCACAGCACCAGGCCGGCTGAGTGTGTGTGCAGCTTCTCAGATGCTTTGAGGTTGATCCCACGTAGAATGAGCCAAGGAAATGACTTGGGGTGTCCATGAGAAAACTCTCCAAGTGCAGCAAAATGTGCTTTTATAACCCAGTTTACTTTACTTCTTTGTGGCATAAGAAAATAAACAAAGCAGCCTGACTCAGAGCTTTCCTCGGGGCGGTGGGAGCACTTTTCCCAGGGCCAGCTTCCTGGTCAGACTTGACCTTGGGGATGAAGATGCTTACACGCAGCCCAAGGCGCCTCCTGCCCTGACCTGGGCTTGCTGCGGTGTGCAGAGGCGCCCAGCACCGTGCCCACACGCCTGCACAGGTGTGACGGAGTCCCAGCATGAGTGCCACCCCGTCATCCAGGGCAACAAGAGGAAACAGGAGGTCCTGCTGGAGACCTCGTCCTCCTGCGGATTTTTTAGCTTCAGGTGCAGGAAGTCCGTTTTGCCACCCAAGGAAGCCAGGGACCCGGCATGTGCCTGAGGGGCAGGCTCGGCTGCACACGGTGCCAGCGCCCAGCCGTGGACGCAGGAAGCAGCAGGCATTGCTGGGGAAACCTGCTCCTTGCAGATTATCAAAGCGCTCCATCTGGAGTCCTTCCCTTCTGCTTCAAAGGCCTGTTTGCGCTTCCGGCAGCACCCTCAGGGCTCTTGGTTCTGAGGCTCTGGGCAGTTTCACCCACAGACCTCCAGGCACACGGGCTGCCTCTGAGTCATCGGAGTCCAGACACTGGAGCAGAGATGTCCCAACAGCCTGTGGGTTTGTTCTGCGTTTCCCAATCCCCATCAGGGCACAGGGCGCTGTGTGCGAGGGATTTGTTCCCAGATGACTCGGAGGTGACGCAAGGAGATACCCCAGCGACTGCAGGGACCCCTCAGGAATGCAGCTGCCCCCTTATCTAGGAAAGCCCGCTGGAGAAGCAGTTGCACAATGAGAAAGCTGCTAGCTAGGGCAGCCCAGGAAGCCGGCCTGCCTCTTGGATTGCCGAATGCACATTTCCCCTCCCCTCCACGTCACAAACACCTCGTGGTCATGTTCCTTGGAAGATCTGCACACCCAAGACAGTTTGGACTATGGCCCAGCATGAGAGACTCCATTGTGAATCTCTGTGCAAAACTCAGTTGGATGTAGTCCCTGCCCTGAGAAGCAGCTAGCAGCTTCTAGACTCTTCTGGAATGTACACTTCTTCCCTGCTAAAAGATAGTCACCCCAGGAAACCAGACAGTAAAAACCCTGAGACAGGTGACTTCTTCTCCAAGCCAGCTTTGTCCTGGAAGCCTGGCCCTCCCGTGTAAGAATACCTACAACTGGTCAACCTCACCATTCCATGCAGATTAACGCTCACCTCTTGTCTTCTCCAGGGACACCCAGGGCAAGGTGGGCCCCGGGGCAGACCTGGCTATGACGGCTGCAACGGGACCAGGGGTGACGCCGGCCTGCAGGGCCCCCCAGGCTCCGATGGCTTCCCCGGCTCTCCTGTGAGTACCTCTTGGCACAGCAGACAAGAGCCAAACCAAGTTTAGGTAGCACGGCACCATGCAGGCTGACGCTCGGCAGGATTCTCAGTCCCCATCAGATCAGAGTATGATTCCTCTGGTCTGAGAGTCCCTGTGCTGCCACCCGGTGTGACAGCTTCATGGGACGAGTTGGCTGTTCCCTTGCTTGTCTGCATTTGCTTTCATTTCCTGGGAAAGGTGGGCTGCGAGGTGGACGTTCCATCCCTGCCGCTCTAGACACCCACAGAAACCAGGGCTGGACCAAGAGCCTGGAGCCCACCCGGGTCTCCGACACAGGCCTCGTGTAGGAGCCTCCTCTGCTGCCTGCCGGGGTGTATGCCAGAACCCCAGGACGCTGCAAGCTGCGTAATGCAGTCCCCAGCAGTCACACAGTTGCCACTGCATGCGCCCCTCACGCCCCTCACACTCCACACGCCCCATGTGCCCCACCTTCTCAGAATGCTCTCTGTGGCCTTGCACATGTCCTGGCATCAGTGAAAAGGAACATTTTTTAAAGATTTATTTATTTGTATTTGAAAGGCAGATTTACAGAGAGAAAGAGAAACTCAGAGAAAGGTCTTTCATCTGCTGGTTCACTCCCCAAATGGCCACAATGCCTGGAGCCAAGCCGATCCACTCCCACGCGGGTGCAGGGTCCCAAGGCTTTGGGTCGTCCTCGACTGCTTTCCCAGGCCACAAGCAGGGAGCTGGACGGGAAGTGGAGCTGCTGGGACACACACCAACACACCGTATGGGATCCCAGCAGTTGCAAACAGGATTTTAACCCCCAGGCTATCATGCCAGACACCCAAAGGAGAGGTTTTTTAGTATAGTATATTGCTACCTTCTTGCCGCAAAATATTTTACAAATTAAGTGTTATCCTGAGTGGTATTTGGTGAAAAAAAAATATTTTCCTGCTGCCGGAGTCCAGCTCCAGCTGAGTTCGGAGCTCGCGAAGGGTGCGTGAATGAGGCGCAAAGAAAGAAAGAGAAAGAAAGAGACGGACCACTAGTAACTCTTCATCATCATAATGGACCACGCACAAAAGCCGTCCGCTTTATTTATACAAAATCAGTCAAACTCTGGCTCAGACTTTTTACGTCATGGTCAAGTGGGTGTTTCCAAAGATAACTCTGCCATTTGTTTCACCTAAGGCTAGAATGTTAACCAACTGGTGCCTGGCTAGGAAAAGGTTTTCAATAGATGATGCATATCAGTCAGTAGCACATTCCTACCACAATTACTTTACAGCTAGGTCTTGAGACAGTCAAGGAAGGAAGGGACCTAAAAGATTAGCATAGGATCAAAAGGGGGAGTTAACACTCTTGATTAACATATTGCCACAGGACGCAGCCCTAACAGCGATAATAGCTCTTTGGCTGAAAACTAGCCACTAGCAACATTAGCTTCTAAGTTCCTACTGACGTTTAACAGTAACTCCGCAGAGGCAGACAATGCCTAAATAGATTACAGAATACTCAGCGGGGTTGTCCGGTGTCCATGCAAAGGGAGGCAGAGCTGCATTCAGGTGTTGTAGAGACATCCACCGGGCCTTGCCACACAGCAGGAAGTTCCTTGCGACCCTGCCTGCAAAGGAACTATACTCTTCACACCTTCCTGTCTTCCACACCCATCACACGGACCCCAGCATCTCCCCCTCTCTTATTATTAAGTTGGAGGGTGCGGAGTTCTCTGCGAGTGGCTTGAATTGTGGAGCTCAAACGTTGGAAGATGACTGGGCCAAAAAACAATACAAAAAGGAGAATAATTAGTGTGATTCCTAAATTTATAAAAAATGAGAATGAGGTCTTATCAGAAATAAAAGATGAAACAGATTGTAAGAATTGATTAGTAACACTTCCTGCAGAGAGAGCTTGCAGATGAGAGTGAGAGATGGTAGAAATCTGGCCATGTAGTTCCTGAATGCTAAAGCTAGTCGATGTGTCATTCCATACACCTTGGAGATGAGTCTTAACATTACTCCAAGGGACATGCGAGTCATTATAAAGAAGAGGAGTGACACAAATCCATTTGTAAATACTATGGCAAGTAGTACCAAACCTGGTTTTTAAATGTTAAGTTTCAGTGCCAATATAAATATCTGCTTCTTCTAATGCACCAATCTTGACCTCTAAATCTATCAACACTTTCCTATGAACTTATTGCACCAGCTGTAAGAGATCCAGTAAGGGTAACAAATGCAGTCAGGCCCAAATATAAACCACAAAGCATGGACAAAGTTGTTGAAAACAATTCCAAAGCATAAAGATCAGCATCATACCATGGTTCAGTCAAATTTACAGTTAACATTACATATAAGGACCTTCTCAAGACACCAAAAGTACCAGGCATAAGGTTAGAATTAAGACAATTAGTGACAACACACTTTGTACAAGTTACAGTGTATACAGAGCCATCTCAGAAAAGTGAGAGGGAGCTTAAGGCTCCATCTTGTAAGGGAGGAATGTTACTTATCAGCAGTCCTTTTGGAAGTAGCTTGAGTCCTGCGCGGGGATGTCTTCGGTGGTTGAGGGTGGTCAGCAGATGTACACGTGACGTGTCCTCATGGCAGGTGTTGATCTGTGCAAACTTCGCCTTTAAAATATTTCTGGGTGGAAGTCTGTTGACCTTAGCAAGGGTAGCACTGAGGCTAGTGGAACTCTTTCTGTTGTTTTGGCCAGAGGGAAGCAGGAAGGAGAGATAGCACCAGGGTTCCTCCTGGTACCTAGGTCGCTACTCTTCCTCTGGGTCTCTAGGAAATTGGGCTGTAAAGACAGTCTTTGGGATGTCAGGTTTATAAGTTAGCCATACCTATATAAATTCTGGAGGTCTACCTGTATATTCTGAGAGGACTTTTGGAGTTTCAGAGAGGAAGTAGAAGTGAAGAGAAAGCTAATCACGCTTGGTAACAATATCAGGTGAAAACTATTAAATAATAAATTTAAAATAAAGATACAGGCTTAAATAGTACATTGAAAAGACAGTGAGAATATACCATGAGTAACCTGGCTATTAAGTTAACTTGAGCACAAACGTGTGGATGACTGAAAACATTTTCAATGACAGTCTGAGGCTTAAATTATGTGAGCCAAAAGCAACCTTAATTTAGGAAAAAGCAATAAAATAGTTTCAGTAATGATCTAAGATCTTAGACATTTTGAAATTATAAATTGGTTAGAATAACCTGTTGCTTTATAATAAGTTTGCATGGTTATTCAGATGGTTTCTCATCTGATCTCAAGGAACATTGAGACCAAACGGTAAAACACACACACTCCCCCCCCCTTTTTTTTTTAACTATAGAGGACTGTAAGAGTATAATTTCAAGCAATTTTAACAAAAAGACATACAGCAAGACAGACATAGGTGGCCACCACACTCATTCAATTTTAAATAGCTAATGAGGGTCTCATATGGACCCTGACTCAAGAAGTTGTGTTGTATCCAGCCCTCTTGAGTCCCAGATAAGGATGAGTACTCAAAACAAGCAAATTTGGATGATGATGTAACTGTATATAGGCAGAGGTCAGTGCAAATCCTGCGAGCCAGGAAGCCAGGACTGGCAGTGGGGCCGTGTAAATCATCACGGTGGCCTCCCCAGATGACCAAGCCAGGCTCCAGAACACAGGATGGCTACTACCCTCTGACTGAGGCCTCCAAAATGTTACAAAATGCATGACAGATCATGTCAGATACATTTAGGATTTACTGAGGTGACTTTATAAACCAAGTTTGGTGATAGCAGTACTTATTAAAAAATTAGTAAGCGAAAAGTCAACAATGATAACTCAGTCTGAATTGAAACCTGAGAGGAAAAAAATTGGTCATTATCGAAGACCCTGATTTTAGTTATCTTAGCAATATAAATTAACCCAAGAGATATACAGTCAGCAGCCTAGGCATATTTGCAAAACTGTAAACATTTATCCTTATCTGGCTTTTTGTTGTTAAGCATTACCTGTCCTGGAACTTTTGGAAATACAAAAATTTGAATTAGACTTCTGTAAATAAAAAAAATTTTTTTGTAATATATATTGATGACAAAATTTTACCCCACTTGGCATCTGACAGTATCTTTAATACAATCCAAATGCCTACTCAGTTGTATCTACTAAGTAAAACTTTCGAATTTTTAAAATGCATAAAGGATGTCAAGATTTATAACATCTAGTTGAAATGGAATCTCGTTATATAACACAATATAGGTGAGATGTAATTATTGGCATTAAGTGATCACTTTAAATACCTAGAAAATAAGTACATAACTTTTATCAATCTGAAGCAATGTGAGCATACTGAAAGGCAGAAAACACAAAGATCACTTCAACATAGAATCTTATATGCTGAGACACTTCAACAGAGCCAGGTCTGGAGTTCACTGGAGCTAACTAGAAGGAGGTAATCATTAATTAGATAAAAACAATTAAGAGGAGATGTTATAACAATATGTGCTTTCAAAACATTGTTGTAATAACAGAGGATCAGACTTTAATTCCATGAAGCAATAATGAACATTTTAGAAAACGCTGCAAACAGTATTTTTAAGTCGATATATCTAAATATAAAGACTAGCAGATAAAAGCATGGGTGCATCCCATACCTGGAAAAAATTTAACAGTGGATTAGATGTTACTTTGATTCCAATTTATGTTTGGTGTAAATGTTACACTTTTAAAGGAATGTCTTAAACAATACCTTAAGAGTTATATTCATAAAATTCAAAAATTCAATATAAAGATTCAATAGAGTTAAAAAAGAGATGTTAATTATGAGAAAACATTATCTAAAAAGTACAAGATGTTAGATATTTTTCTGTGGACCCAGGTTAGTTTATCTCCTACCCTGCTGCTTTTGGCTAAAAAAGGTTGGAGGTGGTAGGCTTGACAAAGGAAAAAAAAAGGTAAAAGGTCCTGGAGAAACTGCATCTGTGGGCTGAGTATCCTAACAGAGAGGAGGGGGAGGAGGTCAGGGAGAGATTGTATCTGCTGAAGAGAAGAGAGTTTAACCCTGAAGTTGCTGGGCAGGAGGAGGAACTTCAGTAGAGGATGCTTGCCGCTGCAAAATGTAAATTGGGCAAGGATGCCTAATCAGTCGATCTGGAATCCATATCAGCAAGTCCGTGACCTGTGGAAAAATGAAAGCATTCCCTCCTCCAAATTTTAAGAGGAAATTGGGTTCTATCCATTGGTCAGTAAGGATATTTTCAAAATCTATGATTAGAGAAACTATTTTGTTAGATGACCCATCTGTAAAGACTAAAGAAGCAGGTTAAGGAAACAAAAAAGGGATTAAAAACAAAGGAGTCAAGGAACAAATCTTTTGAAATATAACTGAATGACTTTTAACAAGGAGATTTTTAGTTAAATGGTATGAAATTGTACCCACAAGGGTTAAGAGTGCTATTTGTTATGTCTCATCCTCAGATATTAGATAACTAAGCTGTTAAGAGCCATAAGGAATAATTACTTAATTTACATCTTTGCAAAAAGGCTCCTATTCCTATATCCCTTAATAATTAAGGTGGGGACCAAAGCACAATAAGGAGTAATAACCTTTTTATACATGGAAAGGAGATGCAGCCACTCTAAAGACCCTTGTTGTCACAAACATCCAGTTGGGGTATGAACAGTCGGTAGTATAATTAATTGCCAAGGAAGATACCAACTTTTAATTAGCATTTCCATAATCAATATCAGGTTTTAAGTCTGTTACTCTTCTATAGGCACAGCGTGGGTAAAATATTGCTGTCTTTTAAACCTCTGATTGTTTAGGGCCCGAGACTGGCCCCGCCGGGAGTTTCCTGACCACAGCTGCTGGCCATCATGATCAATTTTAGATTTACATTTACATACTTTTGCCCAATGTACACCTCTGTGACATTTAGAATTTATCTTAGGGCATTGATCCTTAACAGTATTAGTGCCACATTTTTGAGCTAAAAGAGATGCTGCTCTGCATTGTTTTGGGAGGTGGCTAGGTTTCCCACAGTTAGAACACTTAGCATTCATTTGCTTCTGAATAGCAGTGGTTTGAAACCTTGCAAGGTGAGTAGGGTGTTTGAAAGTCCCCATGTTACCAGAGGCCTTTAGATAACCAGATTTTTGGGTATTTGATTTCCTACAATCTTTCCATGTATGTCCCAATTTGCCACAATTATGACATTTAGATCTATTTTGCTTTAAACCATTGCTTAATGCAGCACTCATCATTTTAGTTTTGTACCTTTCAGAGACAATATCCATACATGTCCTCATTACTTGGGGGGCCCAGGACAGGGCCCATCTCTCGTTTCCCTGCATCTCATCCTGTACAGACTGTTTACTCAATTTAGATCGACTGCGAGGCAATAGAACTGTCCCATTCTTGTGGAATTTAGACTGACAAGCCTTTTGCCAATGAAATCCCTTCTCACACCGCGGACAGACAGTGCGAGGAATATTTAAATTGGACTTAGGAGTGTCCCTATAAGTTTTTTCCTGTTTGAAATTTTGGGATGAGTTTCTGGCAGGACAGCTGTGGCTGAAATGCCCTACTCCACCACAAGAATAGCAATTATTTCTTTTTCTATTTCTTTGATTGCCTCTTATGTTCTTTAAAATCTGAGTAGCAGTTTGACCCTGAAGAGCTGCAGCGATAGTTAACGCTTGCATGTAAGATGGAGTTACTTCAGCACAAGCTCGAACATAGTCTGACAAATCTCCTGTCCTTCTCACTGGCTGAATTAAGGTTTGGCAAGTTGGAGTAGCATTCTCAAAAGCTAGCTGTTTAACTATGAGATCTGTAGCTGTATTGTTAATTACTGTCCGGCTGACTGCTTCGGTGAGTCTAGTTACAAAATCTGCAAAAGGCTCCTCAGGCTTCTGCTTAACATTTACAAAACCTGGAGACTTTTGATCTGGAGATGGCAAGCGTCTCCATGCTCCTAGTGCCAGGGAGGAGATAAGCTGTAATGTCTCCTTAGGCAGAGTAAGTTGTTCTGAAACGCCAAGATGAGTGCCCTGTCCTAAAAGCATGTCTAAGGTAAAAGAAAATTTGCCACACCTCACAGATCTCTGAGACTTTACTTTTGCTTTAGCTAATTCCTCATATTCCATTTTCCACAAAAGGAAGTTTCCTCCTGTGAGACAAGCCTTAGCAACCTGAAACCAATCATAAGGAGTCATCCACTTTGCTGCTAGGCTCTCCACTATTGCCATAGTGTACGGGGAGTCTGGCCCGTAGTCAGAGACAGCATGCTTTAGTTCTTTAATAAGCTTATGAGGCAACGGTTCCCATTCAGGTTCATCGCATTCATAAACAACAGGAAAACAGAAAAAATCACCTTCCTTATGTGCCTGCTGCATTGCCCCATTAAAGCCAATCTTTGCTGGATCTGGTCTAGGTGGAAGGGGCTCACAAGGCTTAGCAGAATACCTTGAAGGCTTATCATCAACAGCAGGAGACCTATTATCATGTAACTCAGCCATTTGCCCCTTTTCACAATCTCTAACTCCTGATCTAAATATTTCTAGTTTTAAAAAATCTTCTTCCTCATCTGTTAAACTTCCATGATCAGTTTTACAATATTTTACATTATCTTCAGGACAGACACTTTCCATTGAGCTATAACTAAGGCCTAAGCTTCCCTTATGAGGATCAAGAAGGGGAGTATGTTCTCCCTGCTGAGCTGAAGGCGTGGGATAAGGATCAGGTCCCACATCTAGTGCCTGCCGTAAGACATTCCAAATGGCATATGCAGAGGATGGCATGCCCACTCGTCCATTACTCCGATACCACCTTTTCATATCATTCCCTACCTGGTCCCATGTGTTTAATTCTAAAGTGCCCTGCTCAATAAACCATGGGCTAACTTTTTGTACAAATTGTAAAAATTCTAATAATTGCTTCTTGCTAACTTTAATGCCCTTCCTATGTAAGGTATGTTTAATAATATCAGCATATAAACTTCTTTCACTAGAATCGCTCTGGCCCATTTTTACAGCACAGAGGGTACACAACTTCTCAATATAAGTTCTGACTATTCACCCCTCCTAACCTGACCTTCTGTCAGGGGGCCTGCAGCACCCTGGGTGAAGTCCTATCCACGCCGCAAAGAGAAAGAAAAGACCTACCTTCATCGAGTCCCTGTTCAGGCGCCACTTGCCGGAGTCCAGCTCCAGCTGAGTTCGGAGCTCGCGAAGGGTGCGTGAATGAGGCGCAAAGAAAGAAAGAGAAAGAAAGAGACGGACCACTAGTAACTCTTCATCATCATAATGGACCACGCACAAAAGCTGTCCGCTTTATTTATACAAAATCAGTCAAACTCTGGCTCAGACTTTTTACGTCATGGTCAAGTGGGTGTTTCCAAAGATAACTCTGCCATTTGTTTCACCTAAGGCTAGAATGTTAACCAACTGGTGCCTGGCTAGGAAAAGGTTTTCAATAGATGATGCATATCAGTCAGTAGCACATTCCTACCACAATTACTTTACAGCTAGGTCTTGAGACAGTCAAGGAAGGAAGGGACCTAAAAGATTAGCATAGGATCAAAAGGGGGAGTTAACACTCTTGATTAACATATTGCCACAGGACGCAGCCCTAACAGCGATAATAGCTCTTTGGCTGAAAACTAGCCACTAGCAACATTAGCTTCTAAGTTCCTACTGACGTTTAACAGTAACTCCGCAGAGGCAGACAATGCCTAAATAGATTACAGAATACTCAGCGGGGTTGTCCGGTGTCCATGCAAAGGGAGGCAGAGCTGCATTCAGGTGTTGTAGAGACATCCACCGGGCCTTGCCACACAGCAGGAAGTTCCTTGCGACCCTGCCTGCAAAGGAACTATACTCTTCACACCTTCCTGTCTTCCACACCCATCACACGGACCCCAGCATCCTGCCTCTAGCACACATGCTTCTTTGTGATTTATTTATTTTATAGGGACCCCAAGGACCAAAGGGACAGAAAGGAGAACCATACACACTGCCTGAAGAAGAACGTGGCAGATACAGAGTACGTTGTCCCGGGGGTGGGGGGGGTGCTGGCCTGCAGTGACGCTGGGCACGGGCCTGAGTGTAGGGGAGGAGAGCCTGGCACGGCGCGGGACACGCCCCTGGGGCCCCAGCCGCTGCTGTCTGTCTTGTGGGTGCCTGTGGGTGTGTCGCCATGCTTGGTGACTTAGCTCCCCAAGTCCTGATGTGTCCAAGTAGCCAACTCCACAGCAAAGCTCTAACTGCCAATCACATCTCCACCAGGGTGAAACCGGAGAGCCTGGGCTGGTCGGCATCCAGGTAAGTCTTGTTGCATTCCAGAATTTTCCACGGGGAAACGTAAGAATGTCAGGAGTCCAACGTTGATGTACCTCCCTCTTAAAAACACCCTCTGCTTATCTGTCCCCAGGGACCTCCTGGTCGCCCCGGGCCTATGGGACCCATGGGTCCAGTTGGTGCTGCAGGACGACCGGTAAGTACGTGATCTGGGGCCCTTGGCCACTGTGCCCTGGCAGGTGCCACCCTGCCCCCTCGCCAGCCTGGCAGAACAACCATGCTCCTTGCAGTCGTCACGGAAACGAGCAAGCTAGGCTGTCCTTAGTTTGATGAGTGACTTGGGGCACAGTGCCCCTCCGGTCATATAACTGGGGGCCCCTCGCTATCTATAGGGAGGAAATGCCTGGGCATGCGCCCTGCCCTGCAGTAGGTGAGAATCGGAACATCAGCCGTGGCCCTGACCCCACCTGTGCGGAGGTCTGCAAGTCCTCCCTCCACCTGCACGCCAGGTGAAGCCCCACAGACCCAGTGGGCGAGGGACCACTGCCCCAGGGCCCAGAACGGACCAGGCTCGGCACCCACCAAGGCTTCTGACGCTCATGCCCCCAGTTTTCAAGGCGTGAAGCCAACGGGCTTTGGGTTACTCAGTGCTGGGGAAGAGGCAGTCACCATAGCAGCCTGCAGAGGGGTTCCGAGTGTGATCCCCGGGGCTTAGGCCACCAGGCTGCTGCAAGTTGGCCCTGTGCCCCTGCACGCCCACTCACCCTTTTGCCATGAAGGGTTGTGGGCGGCTCACGTTGCAGATGGCTTGACCCGTGCAGGACACGGGTCAGGAGAGCCCGAGGCAGCAGGAGCAACTCTTGAGGACCCCAGCCATGGGAGTCACCCCCAGTCCTTCTCTTGTTCACACCCTGACGTGTCCCAGAGGTTGCCAGCCTTTGTGGTTGCAGCCCAGCCCCGTGGGCGGGCCATGCACAGCAGGGGACAGTGCCTTGTGAAGGCTCTCAGGCCCTGTGACAGGGGGCAGGGAGTGGGGGGCAGGGAGTGTCATCACCAGGACTGGTGAGTGCAAGCGCCAGAGCACACAGAACAAACCAGACGCAGCTGGTGGTGGGCAGCGGCCTGTGCTGGGAACCAGCAGCCCTGTCCCCAGATGTGGGAACCTCTGTAGGCACATATGCACACACGTCAGGGCCTGCCCAACAGCCTGCAGTGGCTCTCCCAAGCTTTCTGGCTCCTGGGATGTACACAACACTGTGCCCCTTCTTGTGTCTGTGCAGGGCCCCCCTGGACCCCCAGGACCTAAGGGACAACCGGTAAGTAGGGGGATGACCGCGGAGCGGGTGGGAGCAGGCTGGGGGGCTGGAGTGAGCGCTGGGAGGTGCCCCCCCGGCATTTCGGGGGCCAGCCCATCCCTGCTGCTCCAGGAGAGCCTCTCCATGAGTGTGAGGTGCAAACGGAGACGGGGCAGTTCCCAGACTGCTCACGCTCAGCCACGTGTCTTAGCTGACAAGGGTCGGCGGCTGCAGCTACTCAAGGACACCTCGAAAGGCATCGTGGAAACACTGAAGATACAAGACAGTTCATGGTGACACAACACGACGAAATTCATCCGTACATTTTTACAGCAAATGTTTTCCATAGGCTTTTTAAAGATATATTTAATTATTTGAAAGAGTTACAGAGAGATGGACAGAGAGACAGAGAGATCTTCTGTCTGCCCCAGGTGGCCACAGTGGCGAGGGCCAAGCCACACTGCAGCCAGGAACCAGGAGCCTCCTCTGGGTCTCCCATGTGGGTGCAAGGCCCAAGCACTTGGGCCGTCCACTGCTGCTTTCCCAGGCACATAAGCAGGGAGCTGGATAGGAAGTGGAGCAGCCGGGGCTTGAATCACTCCACATGCCGATGCTGGCCGTGCAGCTGGTGGCTTCACTGGCTCTGTCATGGGGTCTCAAATAGCCCACCGGCGCCCAGGCTGGCAGCACACTGGCACCGGGCTGGCAGCCCACCGGCACCCAGCCTGGCAACACACTGGCACCGGGCTGGCAGCCCACCGGCATCCAGGCTGACAGCCCACCGGCATTCAGGCTGGCAGCCCACTGGCACCAGGCTGACAGCCCACTGGCACCCAGGCTGGCAGCACACTGGCACCCAGCCTGGCAGCACACTGGCACCGGGCTGGCAGCCCACCGGCACCCAGGCTGGCAGCCCACCGGCATCCAGGCTGACAGCACACTGGCACCCAGGCTGACAGCCCACCAGCACCCAGGCTGACAGGGGTGCTTCTGGGTTTTGTGTTCAGCTCCTGACAAAAATCAATGAAAGCCTGAGTTGGCATCTGCAGCAAAGAGCTGGGCACCAGCATGGGGTGGGTGGCCCCAAGCGACCGTGCAGGGTCTTCAGTCACTTGTTAGGAAGCAAGAGGAAGGCGGGCACAGCCTCCCAGACTCGCCGATGCCAGCCTAGGCCGGGCCAAGCCCCCTGGTCCAGGACCTCCCGAGTACCTGCGGGAGAGGCTCCTTTGCAAAGAGGGGGGTGAAAGAACTGAACCCCTGCACTCCCGACCCTCTTGGATCCCCTGAAACCACTAAGAGGAAAAGTAGGAGAGGACATGATGAGCTTCCGTCCCAGGCTGCAGCCAGAGCACGGCCGGGGACCTGGGGAGTAGGGGCAGCAGGCTGGACCGTCCTGGGGCAGGGGAAAGTCACATCACTGGACATGGGGAAACTGACCAAAGCTTGTTATCTCTACAGGGCAACCGAGGGCTCGGCTTCTATGGAGAGAAGGGGGAAAAGGTAGGAGGGCCCCTGCGGGTGGACACTAAGGCCAGCGGGCAGATGCCAGGGCCGGCAGGTGGACACCAGGGCCAGCGGGTGGACACCAGGGGCGGTGGGTGGACACTAAGGCCAGCGGGCAGATGCCAGGGCCGGCAGGTGGACACCAGGGCCAGTGGGTGGACTCTAAGGCCAGCGAGTGGATTCAGGGCCAGCAGGTGGATGCCAGGGCCAGCAGGTGGACACCAGGGCCGGTGGGTGGACACTAAGGCCAGTGGTGCGGAGACCTTGAGTGGCGTCATTTCCTGCTGCTTCCCTAGGGTGCGTGTAAACAAGCATGGTTGCAGGGCAGGAATTGTGGCGGGGCTGGCTTAGGCCAGCACGTTTCAGGGTGCACACGGGCTGGACCAAAGAACAGGATCCAGCGTGTGGCCTTGACCTAGGGCATGGAGATATAACTTGAGTACATCACCATCCCGGGAGAGTGAGTTGTCCTTGAGATCTACCCCTGTAGTACAGAGGGTCAGAGGGACTATGGGGCCGGGCCCAGGGCCAGGCCAGGGCTGCCTCAAAGGCAGGGGGTGTGTCAGGTGGCCTTCAGAGCGAGTACACAGCAGATACTCAACACTCCAGTGTAGAGAGGGGCACACGAGACCCACAACAGAGGGACTCCATGGACACCCATATGCAGCGTGAGCCCCTCACCCAGCCCACACCCACCAGCAGCCCCTCCCTCACCTACAGCCTTGGAGTCAGGTACTGCCATGTAGTTTAAAGAACACTGCATTCTTCCTGTGAATGCCCTAGATAGTCGCTGGTGGGAAACGTGGTGGTTCAAGACAGCTACCTGTGTGCTTAGCTAGCACAGACAGGAGTCAGGAGAGGAATCTGGGAGGAGGCCACTGCCGGAACGGGCTGGATGTGAGGAGGCAAGGCTGATGGTGAGCGATGGATCCAGTTCCCTCTTCCCGATCCCTGAGCACGTTCCTTTGTTAAACCTTCAACAGGGTGATGTAGGACAGCCTGGGCCCAACGGCATTCCTTCTGAGACGATTCCATTGATCAGACCTACCGGGATCACCATCCACCCTGACCAGTACAAGGTAAGCAGCTCCAGCACAATCCAAAAAACAGAAGCTGGATCTAGGCCCATCCCAGTCACAGAAACCTCACCGCCAACTTGGCAGAGTGTACACAGAAGTGCAAGGAGATCCTTTCGGAATGTGCTAGATGTGACCAGTTACTAAACTGGCAAAATAGCCCTATGCATACATCCTCCTCTACACTAAAGGAGGATTTAAAGCAACCTTGGTTAAAAACCTGAAGCAGCAGTGACCAGTCTGTCCCCACCCAAGGCCAACAGCATTCCTGGGCTGGGTCACAGTGGCCGGCAACGGGCAGACGTGGGCTGTTGGAGCCCTGGGCTGGGTCACAGTGGCCAGCGGGTGCGGACGTGGGCTGTTGGAGCCCTGGGCTGAGTCCCCATGGCCAGCGGGGGCGGACGTGGGCTGTTGGAGCCCTGGGCTGGGTCACAGTGGGTAGTAGAGGGCAGTTGTGGGCTGTTGGAGCCCTGGGCTGGGTCACAGTGGGTAGTGGGGGGAAGTTGTGGGCTGTTGGAGCCCTGGGCTGGGTCACAGTGGGTAGTGGGGGGCAGTTGTGGGCTGCAACCACTCCTGTTTCCCTTCCTCAGCGGACCTCACGGTGCTGCTGGGTTCCGAGCTGGGTGCCCACTGTGGGAGAGGTCACAGGATAGCTGCTCACCTGCAGCCCACGGTGGCCGTCCCTGAGGGGTTGTGTCTTACTAAAGGCTGCTCACAGCGGCTCCTGGGTCTACCTGAGGGAGTGGGCTGCTCTTACTTGTCCTCCCTTTGCAGGGTGAAAAAGGCAGCGAGGGGGAGCCTGGAGTACGGGTAAGTGCAGGCTGGGAGCTTCAGCCGGCCGTGGGGCCCAGCACCCTGCTGGGGAGCGAGCTCCCTTCACCCTCTCTTCCTTCCCTAGGGCATTTCCTTGAAGGGAGAAGAAGGAATTATGGGCTTCTCGGGAGCGCGGGTAAGCCATGCCCCTTGGGGTCCCCATGGTGAGAGTGGCTGGAGGTATACAGCCTGCCCCCTCCCCCACAGCTCCTCCCTCCCCCACCAGCTGGCCCCAGGTCCAGGAGAATGGGATGGGGCTGCTTAGTAAATAGAAGACCGCCCAGCCCCACCCTGTGCTAGGTGGCTCCCTGCCCGCCACCCTCACCAGCCCCACCCCTGGCTCCCCAAGGGAAGGTTGCAGCCCAGCACGTCTGTTCGCTGTGGGATGCCAACATAGCTTCATGCTCCCCAGCAAGATTGTGCTGGCTCAGGGGCCGTCTGCTCACAGCTGTGCCCAGGACCACCCCTGCCCCTGCTCTGCCCCTGCCCTGCCCTGCCCTGCCCCTGCTCTGCCCTGGCCTGCTCTGCCCCTGCCCTGCCCTGCTCTGCCCCAACCCTACTCTGCCCCTGCCCTGCCCTGCCCTGCTCTGCCCCTGCCCTGCCCTGCTCTGCCCCTGCCCTGCCCTGCCCTGCTTTGCCCCTGCCCTGCCCTGCCCTGCTCTGCCCCTGCCCTGCCCTGCTCTGCCCCGACCCTACTCTGCCCCTGCCCTGCCCTGCCCTGCTCTGCCCCTGCCCTGCCCTGCTCTGCCCCTGCCCTGCCCTGCCCTGCTCTGCCCCTGCCCTGCCCTGCTCTGCCCCTGCCCTGCCCTGCCCCTGCCCTGCCCCTGCTCTGCCCCTGCCCTGCCCTGCTCTGCCCCTGCCCTGCCCCTGCCCTGCCCTGCCCCTGCACTGCCCCTGCTCTGCCCCTGCTCTGCCCCTGTCCTGCCCTGCCCCTGCTCTGCCCCTGCCCTCCCCCAGCCCCTGCACTGCCCCTGCTCTGTCCCTGCTCTGCCCCTGTCCTGCCCTGCCCCTGCTCTGCCCCTGCCCTGCCCCAGCCCCTGCACTGCCCTGTCCCTGTCCCCGCCCTGCCCCAGCCCCTGCCCTGTCCCCGCCCTGCCCTGCCCTGTCCCAGCCCCTGCACTGCCCCTGCCCTGTCCCTGTCCTGTCCCCGCCCCGCCCTGCCCTGTCCTGCCCTGCATGCATCGAGCTGGCCCCACCTCTGCTTTCTCTCCACTACCCAGGGCGCCCCCGGCCTGGACGGGGAGAAAGGATCCCCGGGACAGAAGGTAAGTGTGATGCAGACAGCTCAGCATGAGACAAAGAACCCCCAAAGGGAGCCAGCACCCCCAAAGGGAGCCAACCCTCGGGGGGTTTTCTAGACCCTGAGAGCCCTGGAGAGGGACAGGGTGATGCATGCTTCCACAGCCTGCTGACAGTCAGGGCTGGGGCTCAGACAGGCAGGTGGGGAGGCGAGTGGACACAGACTCCACTTGGTATGAAGTGGAGATGTTGGGACTACCTTGGGGGAGGGTCGATGCTGGGGCAGGCGGCGTGCGTGCTCAGAACCTGGGTCGAGCAGCCCAGGAGGGTACCATCAGGCTCAGACAGACAATACCTGTCCTTGTCACAGGGGAGCAGAGGCCTGGACGGCTACCAAGGCCCTGACGGACCCCGGGGACCCAAGGTGAGTCTGTCTCCTCCTGCCTGTACCCTGCAGAGGAGCCCTCCCCCTTCACAGGAGAGAACACAGCGGGCGACCCCACCCTACACAGGCAGGGGCAGAGCAAGGGGCGACAGAGCGAGAAGCGGGCACTGCTGTCACAGCTCCCATGGGAACACCACTTGTTTGTCTAACTCGTGGGGTCGGGGTACACAGTGTGAAAGGAGATGCTATTAAGGCGGGGGCCTGCTAGATTGGGGGGGAGCGGTACGTGGACTGGAGGGAGGCCCCTGGGGTCCCAGGCAGCTCAGGGTTTGTCCAGGCATCCCTGGATGCTGATACTGCCCAGGGGACCACATGGGCGATGTGACAGCAGGCCATGGTCACCTGACCCCAGCGCACAGCTGGCCTACTTACCAAGGGGGCCAATCCTGGCACTTGCCAAGCGTTCCAAGATGAGATTTCCACCCCTCCCTCTCAGTGGAGCTGACTGGTGGTTTGAGGTGCCAGGGGTGTCCCCCTGAGCCTCTGCTGAGTCAGTGAAGCCCCCACTGTGGTCCTCGGACATGCACACCTGGCTGGAGCCCCAGTGGGCCTGTGGCCCTCGGATGTGCACACCTGGCTGGAGCCCCAGTGGGCCTGTGGCCCTCGGACGTGCACACCTGGCTGGAGCCCCAGTGGGCATGCTCACACGCTGCTGTGTTGTTTCTTCCCCCAGGGGCAGCCAGGGGACCCGGGACCTCCAGGACCCCCGGCCTACTCCCCTCATCCTTCGCTAGCCAAAGGTTTGTACGCAGCTTTCTCTCATGGGACTTGCACTGCGTGTATGCTCGCTTCTCTCTGGGACCCCATCGGGAAAGTTCAAAGCTGAGAAGGCACTTGCTATGCCTCCGGGAGATCCCCAGTGCCCTGCAGATCCCCAGTGCCCTGCAGCTGCCCTCAGGGCCCTCCAGGCCACGGGAGCCACAGCATCCCTCCTCAGACCCCCACCGTGGCGCCTGCCCGGCTCTGCGTGTACATCTGTCCATGTGTGTCCATGTGCCTGTCAGTCCAGGCTTGGCCATCTGGAGGCACCGGTCATGCCTCTGGCTTCTTCGTCTGCATCTCCCAATCCCCTCAGACCCCCGGGGGGCAGCCTGAGACCAGGCACCCAGCCGAGCCCACAAACGGTGCATCCCCTCCAGCTTCGAGGTGAGCCACCAGGCGTCTGCGCTTAGCCGCGCTGCCCACAGGGACGTGGTTGCCATGGCTGTCGTGGCTTCTGCGGGGCTTGTCCGGTCACATGGCCCTGCCTTCCAGGTGGGCAAGGTCAGGTACGCGTGGCGTTCCGCTTGTGCCGCCCGAGCGCTGGTCTCCACGGCCTGGTCAGTGAGCATTCGTGTAGATTCACACAGCCCTGGGAGACATTCTAGAGGGAAAGACTTATTTATCTGAAGGGCAGAGTAACAGAGAGAGACAGGGAGAGATCTTCCTTCTGGTTCACTCCTCCAAAGGCTGCAACGGCCACAACTGGGCCAGGCTGGAGCCAGGGCCCAGGACTTCTGGGTCTCCCACGTGGGTGCAGGGTCCAAAGGCCATGGATCGTCCTCCACTGCTCTCCCAGGAGCATTAGCAGGGAGCTGGATTGGAAGTGGAGCAGCCAGGGCTTGAACCAGCAAGCATATGGGATACCAGCTCTGCCGGTGGCAGGCTGACCCACTGCACTACAGTGCCAGCCCAATTTTTTTTTTAAGTACAGAGGTTCTGATGTTTTCTTCTGAGTCCAGCAGTTTGCCCCCATAATATCCGTTTTCTCCTGTCCTATTCCCCAAGAGCCCAGCGCTGTAGCCCAATTCCTGCTTGGCATTCTGGGCTTCACTGCCCTCCCCCACAGGGCAGCCCTGTCTCACTTGGAGAAGCAGTTGGTGAGGCCTTGGTGACAGACTGTCAGCCCGCCAGGGCTCAGGCGGCCTCCTCCTGGCCGTTTTCCTCCCCACCCACTCTGGTGCCCGTGTCGCTCCTGCTGCCCACTGCCCTGGGAGCAGAGACCAACCTCCCATCCCTCGACCACCTTCTGATTCCTCTGTGGCCATCCTGGTTCCAGGTGCCAGAGGAGATCCAGGATTCCCAGGGGCACACGGGGAGCCAGGAAGCCGAGGAGAGCCAGGGGATCCCGGCCCACCAGGCCCCCCAGGCCGGCCCGCCAGAGGTGAAGGTAAAGTGACATTACGGTGTCCACATCTGGGACCAGATGTGCCCCAGTGACATCTTGGCCAGCGTCCTCCTGAACAGTCCTGGCACCCGGGACCCTGCCTGCCTGCAGCTCCCGGATGAGTCGCATTGCTCGGTTGGGTCACAGCACTGCCGAGTGGATGGGACCGGACTGGTGATGGGGTCCAGCAGAGGCCCTGCCCATCTGGCGTAATGGATGGCACACACAGCCTAGCCTGCCTCGCCTGCTGGTGGGAGAGGGGCATGCAGGTGCACCTGGCCTACCGGGGCAGGGGGTTGTGCAGGTGCACCTGGCCTGCCGGGGGAGGGGGCTGTGCAGGTGCCCCTTGCCTGCCAGGGGTCGGGGGGTGGGGCATGCAGGTGCACCTGTCACCTGGCAGAGACCCAGCACTGGTGGCTGTCACATTGCAGATGAATTGCGAGGCCTTCCTGGTGAGATGGGACCTAAGGGCTTCATAGGAGAGCCAGGCATCCCGGCAAGCTTCAGTGGCCCACCGGGAGCTGATGGAAGACCAGGTCTCCCAGGAGCACCCGGGCCTCCAGGCCCCCCTGGACCAGATGGTGAGTAGCAGGGAAGGGGCGGGGAGCTAAAGGAAGCCCAGCACCACGTGCTCCCATTTGCCCGGCTTTCCTTGCGATGCATTTGAAAGGCAGAGCAAGATTCTCTCCACTAGCTCATTCCCCCAGACACCGACAGTGTTCAGGACTGGCCAGGCTGCACCCAGAAAACTTGGCCCTTCATCTAGGCCTCTCAGCTGCCCGAGCCATCCACCACTGCCTCCCAGGACCTGTAGTAGCAGCAAGCTGGCTGGTCCCGACGTAGGCGCCCTGACAGGTGCAGGAGCCCCCCATGGCCCACCGCTTGTCTGCGACATTCCCTGTGCTCTGCTTGGCGACTCCTGTGTGTCGCTTGCCTCGGGGAGCAGAACACAGGCAAAGGTTCCAGGGGCCTGGCTTCTGCTCCCTGGGCTGCCTGGGCCCAACACAGCCCCGCCTCACACCAGACGGCACTCTTCCCAAAGGCCACATCCTGGCCTTGGTACACCTGTGTGTCAGCTGCAGCAACGCCTTCCCGTCCACCTCTGCTTGCAGCAGGTGGAGCCCTGCCTGCGTGCAGGACCGTGAACCCCTTGCCCAGCTGCCCCCGCAGGCAGTGGTCAAGGTCAGGGACGTTTAGTGATGTCAGCCAAGCTGAACCCCTTGGGTCCCCGGGGATCCACGTTCGTTATGTGGAGTCAGTGTATGGGATGTGTCCATGTATGGCCGTGTGTGTCTGTGGGGTTTTATTATATGACCATGTGTGTCCATGTGCCTGTCTGTGTGTGTCCCTGTGGAGGGAGGGTGTGTGTGTGTGTGTGTATCTCTGTGTGTATGTCTGACCATGTGTGTCCGTGTGCCTGTGTCCCTGTGTGTGGCTCCTCGGGCATTCAGGAGCCTCCAGACCATCCTTAGGGCTTGGGGTCTCCCAGATGGACAGGTGCCCATCGCTGAAGCCGAGACTCCAAGTCCGCAGCCTTCAGGCCTGCACAGCTCCTGGCACCCCCTCACGCCCCTGGCCCCCAACCCTGGCTCTCTCCACAGGCTTCCTGTTTGGCCTGAAAGGCACCGAAGGACGTGTGGGCTACCCTGGGCCATCCGGATTTCCCGGAGCTCGAGGACATAAGGGATGGAAAGGTGAGGAGCCGTGCCCAACAACCCCAGAGACCCCACCCAGGACCCCAGGTGCACCTGTTGAGCCCCATGTGTGTCCTGCATGGGGGAGGGGTGGCACACAGGCCTGGCACCTCCCATACCCAGTCTCCCTACTGCAGTGCGCACGTGTGCTCAGACCCCAGCTGCCAAGATAAGGCTGAGTGTAGGCTGGGCGTGCCCACTGCAGACCCCTGTAGACCAGCCCCCTAAGTGACCCCACCACTGCCAGCACACACTGCTTGCCGCTGCCTGGTCCCTGGCCCTCCCTGGCAAAGGAGTGTGTCTGCCCTGCCCTGCTGTGGCCATGGCCTTGGCCTGGCTCCTGGAACCACAGCCCTGCCCCTGACACTCCTGCCTCCTGCTGGTCCTGCAGCTCTGCTCACTCCTCTGTGAGGGCCCAGGTCCTGACACATGTTCCTACTCCCCCACGCCCTCCGCAGGTGAAGCCGGGGACTGCAAGTGCCTGGAAGGTGACCAGTATGTCGGGGGCCTCCCGGGACTGCCAGGACCCAAGGGATTCCCAGGCTTCAACGGAGAGCCAGGCAGGAAGGGTGACCAAGGTGACCCGGGTCAGCACGGCATCCCAGGGTTCCTGGGGCTCAAGGTGAGCGGACGGGGCCTCTCTGGGCTCCCCAGACTGCCACAGCTGGCTTCACATTGAGATCCATGTGGATGGGCTCATGGTGCCATGGGGTAGCCAGGGAGCAGCCGCAGGGAGGCCATGGGGGAGCCAGAGAATGGCCACAGGGAGGCCACGGGGCAGCTGGGGAGCAGCTGCAGGGAGGCCACGATGCCACGGGGCAGCCGGGGAGTGGCCACAGGGAGGCCATGGGGGAGCCAGAGAACGGCCACAGGGAGGCCACGGGGCAGCCGGGGAGCGGCCACAGGGAGGCCACGGGGCAGCTGGGGAGCAGCCGCAGGGAGGCCACGGGGGAGCCAGAGAACGGCCACAGGGAGGCCACGGGGCAGCCGGGGAGTGGCCACAGGGAGGCCACGGGGGAGCCAGAAAACGGCCACAGGGAGGCCACAGGGCAGCTGGGGAGTGGCCACGGGGAGGCCACGGGGCAGCCGGGGAGTGGCCATGGAGAGGCCACGGGGCAACGGGGAGTGGCCACGGGGAGGCCACGATGCCACGGGGCAACGGGGAGTGGCCAAGGGAAGGCCATGGGGCAGCCGGGGAGCGGCCACAGGGAGGCCACGATGCCACGGGGCAACAGGGCCGATTCACAGGCGTGGGCTGGTTCTGTTGTCAGGTCCCTGAAGAATCTCCACGCGGTCTTCTGTTGTGGCTGTACTAGTTCACACTCCCGCTAGCAGTGGGTTAGGGAACCTTTCCCTGTGACCTTGGCAGCTGGGATTATTTTTTGCATTTTCAGACAATAGCTGTCCTATGTAGGGTGAGGTAGAGACTCAGTGGTTTTATTTTTTTAAGATTTATTTTGTTTTTGTTGGAAAGCCAGATATACAGAGAGAAGCAGAGATAGAAAGATGTTCCATCCATTGATTCACTCCCCAAGTGACACAATGGCCAGAGCTGCACCAATCCAAAACCAGGAGCCAGGAGCCTCGAGCCTCCTCTGGGTCTCCCACGTGGTGCAGGGTCCCAAGGACGTTAACTGCTGGCCACGCACTGGGCCCATCAGTGGGGTGAAAGCATTTCCTGAGGGCTGGTGGTCCTCAGTGCCTGTCCTGTGTCTGTATCCTTACCCCTTTGCTTCATGTGCTTCGTTGTGGAGCTTTGTGGTTCTTTGTGGATCGGATCGTAGTTTGCAGACGTTTGCTCGGTCCTGTGCTCTGCCTCCCTCTGATGAGGTGTCCTCGGCCATGCAGAAGCTCCTGGCTGGGCGTAAGGCCGCTCTCTGCACGCATGAGCTGAGCTGGGGTCTTATCCAGGAAGTCCTTGACCAGCTTCATGACCCGCGGAGTTCCGCTGTAATTGGACAGCTTCAGGCTGCAGGACTGGATCCTCAATCCCAGTGTAAGGTGATTCGTGCGGGGCTTAAGGGAGCAGCTGGCTTCCTGCGCTGCCTGTGGAGGGTGGATCTTCCGCCTGCGTTGAAGAGACTGTCCCCTGTCCAGGCAGTGATTACAAGCTGGTCATGGACTGCTCAGTTGCGGATTCTCGGATTCTGTTCTGTCCTCTAACCTCTGCTTGTCAGTGTGTCTGCTCCTGGCCAGGCTCTTTTGATTGTAACTTGGTGTAGCGTGTCTTGGGATCTGGTATCATGTTTATTGTTTAGAGTTGCTTTTGCTGTTCCGGGTCTCAAGGTGAGCGGACGGGGCCTCTCTGGGCTCCCCAGACTGCCACAGCTGATCCCGTATGAATTTTGGAGTCTTTTTTTCTTCCTGGATCAGAGAGCATCTTGGGTATTTTTTTGGGAATTGCATCAATCTATAAATTGCTTTGGGTAGATTGGATGTTTTGATGACACTAACTCTTCCAGCCCATGAACATGGACAGTTTTTCCATTTTGGCATGTTTTTAATGTTTTGTGACGTTCATTGCAGAGATCTTTCATTCCTTGGTTAAACTTATCCCAAAGTATTTAAATTTTTGTACCTGTTGCGAATGTCTCCTCAGCCGTGGAGCTGTGTGTATGTGAAGGCTGTTGACTTGCTGTTGACTTTGTGTGTTCATTCTATATTCCACAACTTTACCAAACTCTTAGTGGAAGTTTTAGTTGCCCGTTACAGAGGGCCGTGTCGTCTGTGAGAGGGGCTGGCCTGACCCCTCCCTCCTGGCGGTGAGCCTTTGCTTTCTTGGCCTCGCCTGGTGGTGCTGGCTGAAGTTGCCAGGACTGGTTTGATCTCGGCGGTGGAGGGCACGTGACGTGGCCACGGATGGCAGCTTCCCCAGCTCCCCCCGTGCCTGTGACGGGGGCTGGGGGCTTGTCGTGCCTTGCCTTGGCTGAGCTGAGGGAGGCCCCTTCTGGACCCAATCTGCTTAGGGTTTTAGCAGGAAGGGATGTCGTGTTTTATCAAATGCTTGGTCTGCGCCTGTCGGATAATTGTGTGGTCTTATTCTTGAGTTTGTTAATGTGACGTGGTGGGTTTGCTGATTTGCAGATGTCGACCCATTCCTGCATACCAGGGCAGTCCCGCCTGGTCCGGGTCAGTGAGCTTTCTGACGCATCGTTGGACTCGCTCAGTATTTTGTCGGGGATTTTTGCATCTGTGCCCATCAGGGACCCCGGTCTGTTGTTCTGTTTCGTCGTTACATCTTTTCCTGGTCTTGGAATGAGGTTGTTGCTCACTGAAGGAGTTTGGGACCATTTGAGCTGTTCAGACTAGTGGAGGAGAAATTGGGATGAATTCTTGCCAAGTTTGCTAGGATTCGTCAGCGAAGCTGTCGGGCCTGGGCTTTCCCTGCTGCGAGGGTCTTTCTCATTGACTCCATCTCCGAGTTGGTGAGCGGGCTGTAAGTTCCCATGGCTTCGTGCTGCACCCGGGGAAGCGTTCCACAACCAGCAGCAGAGAGCCCGGTGCGGCACGAGTGGAGGTGGGGCAATAAGCGGTGGCCACATGCAGAGGGCTCAGTTCCTCCTGAGCAGCTGGCTCCGGAGCCTCAGCAGGGACCGACGGAGCCGGGCTGCCTTCTCCTGGGAAGAGGAGGCCTTGAGGGAGGCCGGGCTGACGTCACGCTGCCTGCAGAGGGCTGACGGCCTCTGCTTGACGCCCTGCGAGGTGTTCGTCCCGGCAGCAGCTCTCCCCTGGCAGGCTTTTCCTAATGAAGATTTTCCAGCTTGAGCTGTGGGCAGATGAGCCTTTGCCTTTCTGTAGGGAGGACTGAGGGAGGCGGCTGCAGTGCCGTCTGAGCGTCACGCATCCTGCCTGGAGGACATGCTGCAGCCAGCTGCCGTATGGGCTCCATGCTTCAGACTGCGCCAGCGGAGGCAGGCGGAGAGCCTGGGAGACAGCAGCTGGCCAGTGAATAGACTCACACACACTGGTCACCCAGACACACTCAGTGCAGGCCTTGTGGGTGTGAGATGCTGTCCCGGGTCCCTTCTCTGCCAGGAGGCGGATCTGCCGGCCGGGCGGCTGCGGCATCTCCCAGGAGGCAGTCCCTCGTGAGGTTCATGAGACCGACACTCAGAGCTTCCCACGCTATGGCCAAGAGCGTGCGGGGACATGTCACGTGTGACGGGATCCCAGGCCGCCAGCCTGCCCGTTCACCTAGCTGCTGCCGCGGCTCCCACAGCCTGACTCCCTGGAAGAGTGCCACACTCAGCTTTGTTTCCGCTCAGGATTTGAAGAGCTAAGCTTCAGAGCCCCGAGTCCCACCGCCCCCGGCCCGTGTGAGCCTCGTGGCCCAGGGCACCACTGGCATCAGAGCAGCCCCTCACGGGTGCCGGGCTCAGTGATAGCTCCCGGGGAAGCAGTGAGTGGAAGGTAAATGTGGCCATCTTTGTCCCCAGGGAACCCCTGGCCTCCCCGGAGTTCCGGGACCCAAAGGAGCCAAGGGAGATTCGAGAACAGTCAGCACCAAAGGTGGGTTGTTGGGGTCCGCTTTGCCTGGTCGTGTGGCACAGTGGGGAGAGCAGACTCACACGGATTCTCCCCCAGGTGAGCGAGGACAACCAGGAGTCCCAGGTGTGCCTGGGATGAAAGGCGACGACGGTGTCCCCGGGCGCGACGGGCTGGATGGATTCCCTGGGCTCCCCGGCCCGCCTGTGAGTGTGCAAGGCCAAGTGCCTGGGCCGTGTCCTCCAGGCAGGGTGCCGAGGAGAGGGGTGAGGTGTCACAGCAGGCCACTCGGCAGCTGTGTGACACGTCCAGGAGACCCGGTCACACTCCAAGTGTCTGCTGGAGCCTCAGCTTAGCACCTGCCACGCCCCAGGCCTGCTGCCCAGGCTCCACCTCCCCGAGCTCAGCCGCAGCATCAACCCCTGCCTGGCATTGCCCAGGAACCCACGTCCGACTGTCCTGCTGGCAAGTGGCAGGAGTCACATGGGCAGGACTGAGAGCCAACCACAGTGGAATGGGAAGAGAAGAAAGTTGCTGGGCTTTCAGCCACGCTCCTGTGCTTGCCTGTGGTGTGCGGTTGTGCGTGTAGTGTGGGTGTAGTTGTGTGTGTGCACACCCTGTGTGGCGTGTGGCTGTGTGTGTGCACACCCTGTGTGGCTGTGTGGCTATGTGTGTGCACACCCTGTGTGGCGTGTGGCTGTGTGTGTGCACACCCTGTGTGGCGTGTGGCTGTGTGTGTGCACACCCTGTGTGGCGTGTGGCTGTGTGTGTGCACACCCTGTGTGGCGTGTGGCTGTGTGTGTGCACACCCTGTGTGGCGTGTGGCTGTGTGTGTGCACACCCTGTGTGGCGTGTGGCTGTGGGGGGGGGAACGCTGTGCATCTGGACCCGGCACAGCCTGGCAGTATGGCTTGATTGGACAGTGAGGACAGGGCCCTGTGTCTACACCCTGAGCACCGGATCCCGGGAAAGGGAGGGAGCAAGAAGGGGGTGCTGTTCTTGATGCTGATGTCAGATTCATCTGAACGTGTGGCACAGGGCGATGGCATCAGAGGCCCCACAGGAGACCCAGGTTACCCAGGCATCCCTGGCACCAAGGGCAGCCCTGGAGACAGGGGCCTCCCAGGACTCGGCCTGCCCGGCCCCAAAGGCCAGCGCGGCTTCCCCGGCGACGCTGGATTACCAGGCCCCCCAGGCTTTCCTGGGCCTCCCGGTCCCCCAGGAACCCCAGGACAAATAGGTAAACAATGTCTCCTTTTCCCCTCCAGGTTGCAGAGCCCTGCCCTGTGACCCCGTCTCCCCCAACTCTGCCCACAGCCGCATTTCCTGCAGGGGTGGAGGGGGTGGGGTGCCCGGGTGTCCAGAACAGGGACCTTCTTCTGCCTTGTCGACCCTGATCTGCCTCCACCCGTGCAGTCACACACATGCACACCCACGCAAGAGCTGGCTACTTACAGAGGTTTATTCTGTCCCCTGCTCCCCCCCAGTGTGTGACGACGACGTGAAGAGACCCATTGGAGTCGAAGGACAGGTGGCCGTGCAGCCAGGTACTGTGAGGAAAAGCTGTCAGCGGGCAGTAGTGGGCATAAAGCCACATGGATGACCCATCTGAGTGTGTGCGAGATGGTGTGACCGGTGCGACCCATGTCACTGTGGAGACAGAGAAGGGGGCCAGCAGGGAGCACATGTGAGCAAGGGCGACGCTTGACACTGTAGGTGGCCCTGGACTGGGCAGTGGTGGCGGGAGAGGAGGGTGGCCCCCATGCAGGGGCTGACCTGGCCAGCTTAGGGTGGACAAAGCATCCCGAGTCAGCAAAGAGACTGCACGGGGCAGGGAGAATGGTTCTGCATGGAGCTCAGGGGACAGAAGAGCTATGGTGGAGGCTGCTCTCCTGGGGCCTCAGCAGAGGTTGTGGGAAGGGGCTGGGTGCCCAGGAGAGGTGCAGGTCCCAGATGGAATCTGGCAGGCTGCTTGTGCCCATAGGACTCTTAGCCTGAGAGCCGGCATCTGGGTGGCGGGCAGCCCTCCCAAGTACAGGAAGGCCCCCTGTCTTTGTAGAACCTCTAAGCCAGCTGGTTTGCGAACGCCACTATTGGCAGCAGAGAGGAAGCAGTGACCCGTCCATTGTAGGACCAGGGGAGATGGCGAGGCCAGCAAGGCTAGTCAGGGTGGGCGGTCTAGAAGCCGGAGGGGATGAGCAGGAGGCAGCATGGACAGCCGTGGGCACAGTTCCCCTCGGCCTGCAGCCACAGAGGAGTCATGGGGCCCACTGAGAGCCAGGGCCTTCCTCGGGGGAGCATGAGTGACAGCAGCAGGGCCCGGCACCAGGAGGCAGGGCCAAGGGAGGCCAGCACCCAGCACCACCCACCCTCAGGTCATGTGCCATGAGCACGTCATCCCAGGCTGCTGCTGGTGGGTAGGAGCCAGGGCTTCAGGGCCGTGGGCAGCTGGGAAGGTATAGACCCAGGTCATCTACAGAGCCCAGAAACTGGGACACCAAGCCTGACCCTGTGTCACCGCAGCTGGTGCAGGCAGGGGACAAGGCTGGGACGCCATGACAACATTCCAGGGCACTTGAAGGCAGCGTGGCACACAGTGCTGTGCAGGTGGAGAAGCAGGCCTGGGCCATTCCTCCCAGAACTTTCTAAATGCAGAGCCATAGTCTGGGGTGCTGGGGTCACGTTGACAGGCCAAGAATTCCTCCCAAACCGCCTTGTTTGTCAACAGGGGACCAGTTTTTGCTGTCAGAGTGGCTTAATTTGCATGTTAGAGTGATGGTCTGGTTTCATTGCACGATGAAGCTAAGCACCTCTCACCCCTGAACCGAGGTTAACTTGATTGCTGAAGTGCTCTGAGCCCACAGCCTTGCCTGTGTGCCCGGCTGGCACCTTGGAGCTTGCTGCGGGCCACAGGGCAGCAAGGCATCGCCTCACCCGTCTGCTCTCTCCCCAGGCTGTGTTGCAGGGCCCAAGGGATTGCCAGGCTCGCCAGGACCCCCAGGCCCAGCAGGTACTGTGCTGCCTGGGGGCGTGTCCTCCTCCCATTGTCAGCCCTAACCCCTGAGACCCCACCTCTGGCTGTGGCCCCGTTCTCCCACCCTGGTGACAGACACATGGGTGGGACCCCTGCCGCCCACAGGCCGGCTTGACACCGTGGGCAAGGACTGGTGACCTCCTTCCCCTTGACCTGCTGGGGCCTGACCCGGGGTTTCTATGGGCATTTAGGTGCCAAAGGCCTCCAAGGGACACCCGGGTTCTCAGGAGCAGATGGACCCCCAGGGCTCAAGGGGCTGCCTGGAGACCCTGGCCGTGAGGGGTACCCGGGACCCCCAGGTAAGTGAGGACAAGGCCCCCCACGCCCCTACGGCAGGGACAGGACCTAAGTGGGCAGTGCCGGGGCTGCGCCTGCTCCATTGGCCTCCAGCGATGAGAAGCAACTTGAACAAGAACTTCAGGGCATCTGATGACGTCGAAAGCCTTCGTCCTGCAACGCAGGAGGGACCCCGACCCTGGAGGGATCAGGGCTGTGTCTGCACTGGATAGAGTCACCCTGTTATGTCATCCCCATATGTGGTGTGATTGCTTCTAGAACCTTGTATGCGGGCAGTCCTCATCGTGGCAGGGTCTCTCCTGCCCGCAGCCTCTCCTTCCAAATGCACCCGTGAACGGTGGCACCTGAAGCTGGCTCAGCCCACGGCAGGGCCTGCTGCACTGCCCAGAATTTGCAAGCAAAATCCTTCCATCCTGGAAAGAGACACCAGCTGGCCACTCTCCCCCTGCATCTGAGGGTGTTGCTCCCACGGTAGACTCCATGTGGAGGGCCTGGTGCCTCTTCCCACTCTGACCAGCAATTGGGAACTCCTACGAGGGAGCAGGGGCCTGTCTCTGCTGGCCCTGGGAGCCTGGCCTAGTTGGGCCCAGCCACCCCCATGACCGTAAACACCCAGCAGCGGTTACCTGGGCATGGGCACTTGTCTCAGGACACAGGGCTGAGGAACAGGCAGCTCTCAGGGACCCATTCCCTGGGCCAAATGCTGGAGGGTTAAAGGAAGAAGCAGGCAGTGGCAGAGGCTCCAGGAGGAGCAGGTGCAGGGCCCCTGGTCTCCAGGCCTTCCTGCTCTCCTGGGAGAGCGCACACCATGAGGTAACCTCTCTTCTAGGGTTCGTGGGTCCCCGAGGCTCCAAAGGTGCCACGGGCCTGCCTGGACCAGATGGACAGCCGGGTCCCGTCGGCCTGCCAGGGCCAGCAGGGGCCCCTGGGGACAGGGGCATTCCTGGAGAAGTCCTGGGGGCCCAGCCGGGACCACGAGGAGATGCTGGACTGCCCGGACACCCCGGACTAAAAGGCCTGCCTGGAGAGAGGGGTCCCCCTGGGTTCAGGGGTAAGTGACAGGAGCGAGGCCAGTCCCTGCTGCGACACCCCAGAGAGTCTGAAGTGCTTCTGGGGTATGGGTGGTGAGGAGGTTGCTACACAATCACGTGTTTTGCTATGATGTAGCATGTTGCTGTATAACAGTGTTACTGTGTGCAGTAACATTACTATGCAATCATGTTGCTATGCATTTTAACATGTTGCATAGTACTAACATGTAGCTGTGTGTTTACATGTTGCTGCATGGTAGTAACATGTTGCTGTGCACTAACATGCTATTGTTATGCCCTGATGTGTTCACCACCTGTCGCCAGCACAGCCTGGTCTTGAGGCCTTTCTCGAGTCCACCTGCTGTCTGTGCGTGAGCTACGTTTTCAGCAGACCATGCTGTCGGAGTGAAGGGAGAAGGGCCTGCTGTGCTTAGCAGTGAAGATAAGGAATGCTAAGAGTTTGGAGTAAGGGTGGATGCAATGGCTGGAACTGGGCTAGGCTGAAGCCAGAAGCTTCCTCTGGCTCTCCCACATGGGTGCAGGGGCCCAAGGTCTCGGGTCGTCCTCGACTGCTTTCCCAGATGCATTAGCAGGGAGTTGGATCAGAAGTGGAGCAGCCAGCCAGAACTCGAACCTGGCATGCTGTCTCTGCAGGTGGCAGCCCCACCTCCTATACCACAGTATACCACTAGCTTCGAAAGAATATTTTTTAAACATGGCAAAATAGCCAAAAGACAATGTCACCTGGAAAAAGCTAAGTGGCACTTAGGATACAGTGTCAACCCCACGAGTGAGGGAAAAGGAGAAGGTGGTGGGACCTGCCAGGGATCAGCCACCTGCTCTGGGGGCAGCAATAGTCAGCCTGTCCATGTGCTTCCAGGTTCTCAGCTTGGAGGGCAGGCCAAGGCAGGGGTAAGTGGGGTGCGGGCCTCCAGTGCAGTGCTGGTCTCACAGCTCTCATCTCCATCCCTACAGGAAGCCAGGGGATGCCCGGGATGCCAGGGCTCAAGGGACAGCTCGGCCTGCCCGGGCCTTCGGGCCAGCAGGGACGGCAGGGCCCTCCTGGAGAGCATGGGTTCCCCGGAGCTATTGGCCAGCCAGGACCCTTTGGGCGCCCAGGGACCCCAGGCCCTGAAGGTAAGACTCCACCCCAGCCCCCTCACCCGCATCCTGACACACACAGGAAGGGACAGGAGCCTCGTTTGTATTACAGCACACCAGCTCTGCCTCCCCCGGAGACCCTGGCATTGGGTCCAGCGGGTGAGACTTGGCCTGAGCTGCCAGCTCATGCTGTATGCCCGTTGTCATGTGGGGGTTGTGGGTCGAAGCCTGACTCCTGCAGGCGCTCCCCACAACTGCTGTGATCCAGAAAGGCAAGGATCGGGGTATCCGGGGCCACAGGGTGGGCTGTGGAGCAGAGATGCCGGGAGGTGACACAGCTGACAGCCGGCTGACCGGCAGGGAAGGAAGGAAGTCAGGGTGCAGGTGTGGTGGGCTGGGTCCAGGACGATGGACTGTGCTGCCCAGTGGAGCGGGTTGCACCCACACAGTGCCCTGCTGGGCTGCCCAGTGCTCGGTTTTGCCCAGTCAGGTTTGCACCTGTGTTGCATGTGCCGGGACGAGGTAGCATGTCAGGTCCCTTTTTGCTGAGGAGGGGCTCCAGGCGGGGTACTGTGGCCGTGGTAGAGGAGTGGGGGCTTTCCAGGACAGGGGTCAGCCTGAGCAGATGCCAGAAGCCCCCCAGAGCTGGCTTGGTGGGAGCAGCCCCTTGGGGGAGCTCCAGCCATGTGGACCACAAAGATGAAGGCCGAGTCAAGAAGGTGGTCCAGGAGGCCAGGAGCAGCCGGCCGCTGTTGGCAGGGAGGGCGCAGGAGGCCAGGACGGGCGAGGTGGCCGGGCCAGATGAGCTGGCAGGCAGGGTCCTGACCCGCCTGGCAGCCATGCCCCAGCCATCCCCTCACTTCTCCCCTGCTGGAAGGAAGCCACCACAGGCTCACATGCCACTGGTCCACCAGAGGCCAGCCGGAGGGACTCTGAAGGTCACGCAAGGCCAGCCGGAGGGGCTCCCCGCGTGCTGGGACACTGTGGGCGAGCACGTCCTCCCTGCCACTTCCACTTTCTTCCCCGCCAGAAGTGCTTGTCGCCACTTGGCTTTCCTTGTGTCCTTCTGTGACAGGTCTGCCTGGGGAGAGAGGAGAACCGGGTGACACTGGCGTGCCCGGGCCCGTGGGCATGAAAGGTCTCGCTGGGGACCGAGGGGACGCCGGCTATTCTGGCGAGCGAGGCCAGCCTGGAAGCCCTGGATTTAAAGGAATGGTTGGCATGCCTGGCATCCCCGGGCCAAAAGGTACTGGGGCCACGACCACCACCACCACCACCTTGTCCCGGGGTCTGGCGGGTCCCTGTGGCCAAGGAGGGCTCCCCCAGCCATGGCTGATGCAGACTCAAGAGTAGCCCACCTCCCTCAAGTGCTAGTTGATGGATTTGCCAAGAGAGGCTGGGCAGCCTCTGTAACAGCTACCCCTATAACCCCACCCAAGCGTGGGGCGTCCGTTCCACCCCATGCAGTGTGTGAGCTGAGACCCCACCCAGTCATTTGATGAACACCTTCTGTCTCTTGTTCCAAAGGGGAGAGGGGCTCGCCAGGGATGGATGGCTTCCAAGGTATGCTGGGGCTCAAAGGCAGACCCGGGCTGCCAGGCGTCAAAGGCGAGACGGGATTTTTTGGAAGAACTGGGGAGAAGGGCCCAGCTGGAGAGCCAGGTGACAAAGGTAAGCCCCTTGCCAGGCCCGTGCGTGCACGTGTGTGTGTGTGTGTGGCTGACACGGTTCCTGGTGTGAGAGACGCTGCTCTCGAAGCAGTCACGGTGAACCCCAGGGCCACTCACCCGGGATACTCTGCCGTGACAATGACACACCGACAGCACCATAGCAGTGTCAGAGTGGGGAGGGCGTGAGCTGAAGGGTGAGCGTTTTTTGGAATTTTTAGCAAATGAAATGGAACCCAGGGCACCAGTTCTTCAAGATGTCCACTTCAGGTTGCATTTTTGAATCATCTTGATGTCAATGCCAAGATGTCACACGGCAAAGCCAGACATTTAAAAACCATCTTCAAGCTGGCATGACCTCACGATCTGACCCTGGGCTGGGGGTTCCCTGGGGACCGGATCCTGGCGTTTGGTCTTGCCAAGCCTGAGCGCCCATCCTGACACCATGTACCCCAAGCCACAGTATATGAGTGAGTGTGGTCACCCAGCTGGCTGTCCCCTGGAGCCATCGGGCCTTGCCCGGCCCCTGCCTCGGGGGCATGGTGCACGCAGCCCCCATAGCTCAGGGCAGGGCCAGAGAGTATGAAGTGGCCAGGACAGTGACTCTGCTCCGTTCCCTCCCAGGCAGCCGAGGGGACCCCGGCCCCCCAGGACCCCCTCCCATCATCCTGCCAGGAATGAAAGATATCAAAGGGGAGAAAGGAGACGAAGGACCCATGGGACTCAAAGGGTACCTGGGCTTGAAAGGTGAGGCCTTCCCGCTGCCACTGGCTCCCTAGCCCGTCTCCCTGCACCCCAGGATCCACACACACGGTGCTCAGTGGGACTTCGATGCCCAAGCCGCCTGCCTCTGCAGAACACCATGGCTGCAGGGGCAGCTGCTGCGCCCCCTTCCCAACTCCAAACTCCCCGGTCTTCCCACAGGTATCCAAGGAATGCCGGGGGTCCCTGGACTCGCAGGCATCCCGGGGCTGCCCGGGAGACCCGGCCACATCAAGGGAGTCAAGGGTGACATCGGCGTCCCCGGCATACCCGGCTTGCCAGGGTTCCCAGGGGTGGCTGGTCCCCCTGGCATCATCGGATTCCCAGGATTCACAGGAAGTCGGGTGAGTGTCACTCTCGGTGTGCCCTGAGGCTCCTCTCTGCTGTTGGCGAGTGGGTCGTGGCCCCACGCCCACCAGCCAGGGCTGGGCACGCAGGCTCAGAGCTGGCCACTGCAACTGCGCTGGGCCCTGCAGGGAGTAGCTGCGAGGCCATCCACCAGGCCTGTGGGCACTGGCAGGCATGGCGGCCAGCAGCCCTTACTCACAACTGGGCTGGCCGGGTCCCAGTGACCTCGTCCAACAGGAGAGAGCTGAGCGCCCACTGAAGGCAGGCCTGTGACCCCGGGACAGCCCTCTGCCTGCACGGCCAAGGTCGTGACACACTGCGGCTGCACTGCGCCTGCTCCTTGGTGGCCTCCTCTCGCAGTTGGAGACTGGAGTGCTCACAGTTCTCAGCCTGTGGCTGACTCACTCGGGTGTTCACAGTGGGCCCCTGCCTGGGAACCTGCACTCCCACACCGTGTCTGGTGGGCCTTATCGTCCAGCCACCTGCCTCCCATCACTCCACAGATGTGTAGCTCGGGGCAGAGGTCTGTGGTCAGCCACTCTGAACGGAAGGGCACAGCAGGCAGTGTCCACGGCACCTGATTCAGGCCTGACTGGAGTGTGGCCCAGCCAGGAGCAGAGCAGGCACACATGAGCTTGTCATGCGGCAAGTCCTGCCCGGCACAGGACAGGACTCTGCACACGTGAGGGCCAGCAATCACGTGGCCCTTCGGCGTGGAGGGTCACCAGAGCGAGCAGCCCTGCGGCGTGAGCTGTGGCCCAGTGAGGGTTCCGTCCTTCTCGGGGTGCCCCTGCCCGTGGCCAAGTGCGCACATCCATGAAGAGATGTCAACCCTCCCAAAGGCTAGCCCCCCGCCCCCACCTGCCGCCACCACCATCTTCTCAGTGGCTCCTGCCTCCCTCCCCACAGGGCGACAAGGGGGCCCCAGGAAGAGCAGGTCTGTACGGCGAGGTGGGCCAGACTGGAGACCTGGGTGAGTGCCACCGGGAGCAGAGGGGTGCCAGGTCCTGAGCCCCTGGCCCCCAAAGGGGCAACAACTGCAGGGGGCAACAACTGCAGGGGGCTGCCCTTAACCATCTTGTACTCTTGCCACAGGTGATGTGGGGGACACAATAGACTTGCCAGGAAACCCCGGCCTGAAGGGTGAACAGGGCACGGCCGGAGTACCAGGTACGCACATGCCTCAGTCAGCCTTCAGCCTGCACCACTGGGGCCGGCCCGGCTGGCCGGGTCAGCAGATCGGCTCCCAGCCGTGGCAGCTGGCCTAACCTGAGCAGAGTTTGCCGAGTGGCTCTGCCTGGCCACAGACGTCAGTGCTGCTCCTGGAGATGGGGAGGTACAGACCCCTATAACATGCTGGGTCCCAGGGCCTAGGTCTGCCCACAGATCCAGTCCGGCTCTCTGCCACCACACACCCTGGGAAGCAGGTGATGGCAGCCAGGTGGAAGGCACCACAAGGCTGTGTGCTAGGCTGGACGCCATGCAGCGCCCTGCCCAGCGACAGCCCTGTACGCGGGCCCGCGTCGGAGGCAGCACTCACAGCCTTAGGGCAAGCAGTTGGGTAGAGAGCTGGCGGAGGAAGGGGCCGGGGCAGCGCACAGCCCCTGACGGCGCCCACCTGTGCCTGCAGGTGTAAAGGGATTCTTCGGAGAGAAGGGAGCAGAAGGCGAAGTCGGCTTCCCCGGGATCACAGGCCTGACCGGTGCCCAAGGGCCACCCGGCCTCAAAGGCCAGACAGGTGAGACCCGGTGTCCCGAGACCCCCGGGGAGCACAGGCAGACATCCAGCCCGGCCTGTGGATCCCAAGTGGCTACAGAAAGCCAGCTGTGCCTGGTCTGCATTCGCCTGGGAGCCCTTCTCTGTGGATGCTCTCTGGACATCTGTTAAGATACTAGGACAAGGCTATAGCAAGGCTGGGCCAGCCGTGTTGCGAACTTGGGGATTGAGGTGGTATGTGTACAACTGACCCTGCCTGGTTCCCCACCCAACCAGGCAGGACCCCAGCAGGGTCTCAGGGTGTCTTCCCACTCCCCAGGCTTCCCGGGACTCACGGGGCTCCAGGGCCCACAGGGCGACCCAGGCCAGATCGGACGGCCCGGCGACAAGGGAGACCAAGGCTGGCCAGGGAGACCAGGCTTACCAGGTGAGGCCTCGCTTTCCTCGGCCCACCGCGGGGATGGCGGAGGCGGGACAGCGGGCTGTTTGCAGTGAGGAAACGGTCTGAGAAGCCGGTCCACAAAGAAGTGGTGCCCTGTCCAGCACGCAGACCTCCCGGGGACCTCCTTGCGTGCCTCCTCTGGGCACGCAAGGCTCGGGGCTCCAAAGCCATTGGCTGCAACGGTTTCGGATGAGCCCTCCTCAGTGGGGCCGTGCCCACCCCCCGGGCAAGAGCCGAGTGTGAGTGCAGAGTGACTGGCCATCCTGCCAGGGACCTGGGGTACAAGCTAGGGGCTCACCAGCCACGACAGCTCCTCTGCCCAGGGCCCGAGGCCGGGGGGCATCTGTGAAAGTGGGGCTGACAGGTGGGGCAGCATCGGGATTGCTTCGCCCCTGGAGTAAGCCAGGCCTGTGCGCAGGATGATCAGAACGCGGCAGGTGCCGGTCCCGTCATAGGGGCAGCGTTGTCTGAGGCTCCCGCTTCGCCACTGGATGACCATGTGACTTTCCACAGGTTTCCCGGGGCTTCGAGGGATCGGGGGACTGCACGGCTTGCCCGGCACCAAGGGCCTCCAGGGCTCCCCAGGTACTCGGGGTTCACGGCGGGATGGTTTGGTGGCCCCTGGTGGGCTGCAAGCTGCAGAGGGGATCCCCCAGCCCCTCAGCTCAGACTGTCTACTTGGCCTCCTCTGGTCTGGCTGGGGCAGGAGCAGTGTTTTGCTTTCTTTGCAGCACTTTGGGGTGTGGCAGGGGTCCCCCCAAGCTCACCCACCCAGCCAGCTGCCATGACAGCACCGTAGGCTGGTGGCCCAGGGCCTGCAGCCTGGGGTCACAGCTGCATCCCAAGAGGACCCTGCACTCCAGGCTCCCCAGCACTTCCCCCAAGGGCCTGGCTCCACCCCCGACCACACCCAAAGCCCCTCCCACAGTGCACTTAGGCTGGGGCCAGGCCGCGAGTGTGTCCCCAGCAGGGGTGGGCCACAGACGTCCCCCGGGGAGAATATGACATCTAACAGCTTTCCCTGCTTTCATAAACTGTTGTGAAGGACATTGGTTCACTCTGTTCACTCATTTATTTTAAAAGGCAGAAGGGGACAGTGCTGTGGCAGGCTCTGGTCCTCGGGCCCCTGCACGCACGTGGAGACCTGGACACTCCTGGCTTGTTGCTCCAGCTGTCATGGCCATTTGGACAGTGAACCAGGAGATAGATTCTCTGTAACTCTGCCTGTCAAATACATAATTGTTTTAAAAGCGGAGAACTTCCGTCCACTGGTTCACTCTGAATCCCTGAAGAGCCACACCAGCTGGGGCCGGGCCGGTGGCTGCTGGGTCTCCCACAGGCGAAGCAGGCGTCCCATCGCCGTCTTCCTGGGAGCAGGGGTGGGCCCAGGCCCTGAGCCCTGTCTGATATGGGGGACAGGCGTCCTGCATGCCTGGCTGGAGGCCGCCCTCGCCTGCGTGTCCCCCAGGATGTCACGAACCCGGCACAGGGGGGCCCATGGCCTCCGTGTTGCCATTCATGTCCTCATTTCCTGGACTTGGATGAGACCGTCCGAAGGACAGGGGCCGTGGACAAAGGGAATCATCGCTTTTTCCTTTTGTTGGAAACAGCTTTTATTGTTTTCAATAAATGGGAGTTGTCTGTGTTCAGGGAGAGCATAGATCTGTTACACAGACACGTTCACACATGTACACACAACAGTCACGTGTTCCAGTGGATGTTGGCTGTGCATTTACACTCATGCTCCCATGCTGTGCACACATCACTGCCATGTTGTGGTTCTCCCTCTGGCTGCAGCAGCACTGGGCAGTGGGAGGGAACCACATCACACAATCCTGTTTCCACAGACGGCTTGTGCACCTGCTGACTGAACGGGGCAAAGGGTGATTTTCAGTAAGACCAAGGATCAGAAGCCGTGGCGCAGGATCCCAGCCCATGCACCCACGCAGCCGGACCACCTGGGGTCCCTCCCGAGCCTCACACTCCATGACACAGAGCTGGGTTACACCAAGCAATCTTTCCACGTAGGAAAATGGACTTGGCCCATGGGGAAGCCTTTGCCATCGCTGCTGTTTCGCCTCCTACAGGTGCCGACATCCATGGAGATCCTGGGTTCCCAGGCCCCACCGGAGACAGGGGAGACCCCGGAGAGCCCAACACACTCCCAGGCCCTGTGGGAGTCCCCGGACACAAAGGGGAGCAGGGAGTGCCAGGTGAGGCGGCACAGGTAGCAGATCAAGTCTCCAGCAGCCAGCACTGTGCACGGCATGGGTCTCCCCTCACCCAGCATTCTACCAGGAGCATGTTAACACCTCTGAGCTGGGCCAGCCCGGCCAGTCTGTGTCCCCGAAGTCTGCTTCTGAACTTGTGGCTGCCACAGCCCACCCACAAAGCTCCCTGTCCCCGGGGGCTGGCTCCATGGCTCAGGGTCCCGGGCCTGGTGAGGGTACAGGTTTGCAGAGCCACCTGCTGGCATCTGAAGTAAGGCCTCTTCCATTTCCCTACCTCCCAGGGGAGCGAGGCCCAGCCGGGAGCCCAGGGCTGCAGGGCTTCCCTGGGATCACACCGCCCTCCAACATCTCGGGGCTGCCTGGCGACAAGGGCGCAGCAGGAATATTCGGCCCACAAGGTAAGCAGACGCAGGTCTCAGCGCGCGGGCATCTTGCTCGCTGGACACCATCCCGTACCACATCCAGACTTGCCACAGCAGCTCTGGTCTGCCACTTGCTAGGGGCCGGTGTCTCCGCTTTATCAGAGGATGGGATGGGGTGCTGGGGTGGTGGCTGAATGGCCCAAGCCACCTGCAGTGGCCAGCTTGCCAGAGACCCTGGTTGTCCCTCCCCTGCCCCCCACAACCCCTGGACCCTGCCTCACCCGGTCTCTGGTTGTGCGCAGGGTACCCAGGCTTACCAGGCCCACCTGGGCCTGCCGCTCTTCCCGGAAGCAAAGGAGAGGACGGCAGTCCAGGAAGTGCAGGAATTCCCGGGAGCAAGGGCTGGGTTGGCGACCCGGGGCTCCAGGGCCTGCCTGGCGTGTTCGGCCTCCCGGGGGAGAAAGGTGGGTAGCAGTGGTGCGGGAGGGGCAGGCAGTGCAGGCCGAGGTGGGGTGCGAGACCCCACGTCCTCCTGATATCCACATCTCCCCCTCCCCACACCCATCCTGTGCTACAGGACCCAGGGGAGAGCAGGGATTCATGGGTAACACTGGAGCCACGGGAGCCGCTGGTGACCGAGGCCCCAAGGGCCCTAAGGGCGACCAGGGATTCCCCGGTAAGTGGCCTCTGCCCCCTCGCTGCCAGGGGGAGCCTCAACAGGGGCCTTCAGCTGGGGCCATCCCCAGGAGGGCAGAGGGAGGGAGGGACCAGGAGCTGCTGAGGCTGTGATGGGGCTGGCGGTGGCAGGGGGAGCTGCTGCTGGTGGAGCAGGGCCCTGTGGGAGGCAGAGAGCTGGGGCATCTCTGTAGGGCAGGAAATGTGTCCACTGGATTTACCAGGCTCCCTCTCTCCCCTCTCCCAGGTGCCCCTGGCCCTGTGGGGTCCCCTGGCATTGTGGGACTCCCCCAGAGAGTTGCTGTCCAGCACGGGCCCGTGGGCCCCCAGGGGAGGAGAGGTCCTCCTGGGGCCCAGGGTGAGATGGGGCCCCAAGGACCTCCTGGAGAACCAGGTAGGCTGCCTCTGTTCTCACCTGCTACGAAACAAGAACTGGGGGGATAATGGGTGTGGCCCCAACCTGTCACTCACCCCCCACCCACTCGCAGGTCTCCGAGGGGCTCCAGGGAAGGCCGGGCCCCAAGGCAGAGGCGGTGTGTCTGCTGTGCCAGGCATCCGGGGCGACCAGGGGCCAATGGGGCACCCGGGGCCTGTTGGCCAAGAAGGTGAGTGACCTGCGGATGTGTGGAAAAAGCTGAAATTTATTCATAGCATCCTGAGCTATGGCCTAGGTGTGGGCTCTGATGCAGCCAGCGGCCATGCTTAATGCCCTGACCCTGAGCTGTGCCACCGCCCCCGTGCCAGTGACAGAGCTGCCCCACACCACACCTGCCCCAGTCCTGTAGGGTGTGTGGGCCACATCCTGTACTGCACCCACAGTCCCACCTCCATGGTGTCCATGCCTCCAGTGTAGCGTCCCCTCCCAGTAGGAGACCAGGATAGGGAAGGAGAAGGGTTGCCCCCAGAGAGGGTTGGGCGCAAGCAACCATGAAGACAGATTCCTAACCTGGGAAGAGTTATGGAGCTGGCCTTGGGTCCGAGTCCTGGGCGGCTGCGGCCATCAGCCTCCAGGGAGCTTCCTGGGTGCTGAGCTTGGTGTGGGCGTGCCCTGCAGAGGCACGTGGCCGGGGCCAGGGCAGGGGGTGGGGCTGAGACCCCCAGTTCTAGGAGGCACCGTGAGCTGCCCCCGTGCACCTGTGACCCTGCACTCACGGGGCTGCTTTCTCGGCACCAGGGGAGCCCGGCCGACCAGGGAGCCCCGGGCTGCCAGGCATGCCTGGCCGCAGTGTCAGCATCGGCTACCTGCTGGTGAAGCACAGCCAGACGGACCAGGAACCCATGTGCCCCACGGGCATGAATAAGCTGTGGAGCGGCTACAGCCTGCTGTACTTCGAGGGTCAGGAGAAGGCGCACAACCAGGACCTGGGTAGGGCTCCTAGAGGGACGCATGCAGCCCTTGGGGTGGGCAGCTGGGGAGTGAGGAGAGGGACCCACCCGTCCCACGCCCCAGCGTGAAGAGGGCTGAGCCGTGAACCCTGGGGTCCTGGGTGATCCCAGCAGCCAGCTGCACCATGGCGGAGCAAGTGCAGGGCCTTGTCTGGGCTGCTCTGAGGGTCTGGGAGCTGTGAAGACCCCTCCCTGATACAAGGGCTGCTCTGTGAAAATGCCGCTCTGCAGCCCCCTGGGCAAGCCCTGGTTTAGAGGGCCCAGCACTCCGGCCTGTCACTGGGGCCATGGCCTCACGCACTCTCTCCCAGGGCTGGCCTCTGTCTGGGCCGTGGCCTCACGCACTCTCTCCCACAGGGCTGGCAGGCTCCTGCTTGGCACGCTTCAGCACCATGCCCTTCCTCTACTGTAACCCCGGAGACATCTGCTACTACGCCAGCCGCAATGACAAGTCCTACTGGCTGTCCACCACGGCACCACTGCCCATGATGCCCGTGGCCGAGGAGGAAATCAGGCCCTACATCAGCCGCTGCTCCGTGTGCGAGGCCCCCGCCGTGGCCATCGCCGTGCACAGCCAGGACGTGTCCATCCCCCACTGCCCAGCCGGCTGGCGTAGCCTGTGGATTGGCTACTCCTTCCTCATGGTAGGTGGTACTTGCCGCTCGTTGCATCTCAACTAGAGTCACAGCTCTCCTCGGCTGAGGCCTGTGCGCCTCCGAAGGCGCGGGGAGGACACGGAAGGGGCTGATGGCAGCAGGGCACCTTGACCTCCAGGAGCAGAGACAGTGCCCTGCAGGTGCACAGCAGGTGAGAACAGACACACCCGCCTGCCCTGTGTGTGCACATGTTCCTGTGTGCACACCTGTCCCAGCACGTGCTGCCCGGGCACGTATCATGTGGAGCAGCACACCGAAGCCCAGCCTCTGCCCAGCTGCCTCCCGGGGCTCCCTCGGGCAGCATCTCCCAGCAGGGCCTGGTGGGTACTTCCACCTCAGCAGACACCAGTAAAATCTGCAGCGGCCCAGCGGCCCAGCCGGCAGCCTCAGTGCTGACCGAGCCCGACAGGAAGCAGAATTTGTCGCACAGCAGTCACGTGTAGATGGTCTGAATGCAGACTCACGGGGGGCCACGGTGACGCCGGCTCTCGATGCGGCCACAGGTGCTGGCCTGCACTGTTCTTACTGAGCAGACGGCCGCGAGGGCCTCATGGAAGCCGGGAGCTTCACCTAGATCTCCCATGCGCGTGTGGAGCCCACTCCTGGTGGAGGAGAGAGAGCCCCAAGTCGGGGCGGCCTCTTAACCGTCCCTTCCCTCCCTGCAGCACACCGCAGCTGGAGATGAGGGTGGCGGCCAGTCGCTAGTGTCACCGGGCAGCTGTCTGGAGGACTTCCGGGCCACGCCCTTCATCGAGTGCAACGGCGGCCGCGGCACCTGCCACTACTATGCCAACAAGTACAGCTTCTGGCTCACCACCATCCCTGAGCGCAGCTTCCAGGGCTCCCCCTCGGCCGACACGCTCAAGGCCGGCCTCATCCGGACGCACATCAGCCGCTGCCAGGTGTGCATGAAGAACCTGTGAGCGGCGCGGCCAGAGCCGCCCAGCCGGGCCTGTGGTGCTTGTTCCGAACTCATTACCTCACGTGCCAACCCAAGGAGGCGTTGATTGTTACTGCCTTAAGAAGTGCTACCACAGAAACGGCAGCAGCACAGCCACCCCGGAGCCGCGATGGCACTGGGCCTCCCTGCAGCACCGTGCCAGCCACAGCGAGCCACACACTGTCCCCGCCCCACAGCCGCATGCTTTCCGCAGGCAGCTCGCACCCTGGCACTCCATGGTGGGGTACAGGCAGGTGGCAGCCCTGTCTGCGGTCCTGTTCCTCGGCAGGGCCCGGTCATGCGCACTGGTAGACGCCCGTCTCACACACACATGCATTGTGTCCTTGTGACCCCTGGGTTGGCAGAACTCACACAGGGACAGAGGCCGCCCGGTCACCCTCCTGGATTCCAAGTGGTGCTCCCCCTCGGTGGGCTCTACCCTGTCTGCTGAGCTGTACCCACCACCCCCAACCAGATCCTGTGACTGTAATCCATGTAACAACCAAAAAATAAAAGTTGGTCTTTAACCTAACCCCAGGTTGTTGTCAGTCTCACCTCTCACAGGCGCAGAAGAGTCTGGTAGAGCGGCGTGTATCTGCTATGGTGCCTGCCTGGCTGCGGGAGAAGCTGACATGGGGAGGGAGCAGTCATGGGGACAGGGGGTGGGGGGTGAGTCCAGGGAGCAGGGCAGGCCCTGGGCACAGAGGACAGAGACGGGTCCGGGCTGCTCCAGGAGTTGGCTGCCCGCAAGAAGATACGTGACTTGCCCAGGCCAGCCCAGGAAATGGAAGTCCTTGTTCGCATGCCAAGCACAGCCAGCTCCCGCCAGCATGCCAGCGGGGAGGTCAGGCACAGCCAGCTCCCGCCAGCATGCCAGCGGGGAGGTTGGTTAGTTGCACAGAGCTGTGGCCATGGCAACAGCCGAAATGGCCAGGCCAGGAGGACCCTCAGACAGGGCTGTGGACAGCCAGCCAGGCTTTCCACAGGACAACCCCCAGGATGGGGATGTGAGAAGGGACAGAGGACTCCACTGAAGGTGCCCCAGTGGCCTGGGCTGGACAGTGGCTAGAGAAAAAGCCAGGGTGGCGTTGGGCAGGGCACTTCACATGGAGCAGGAGGAGACCCCACACCCACCAGCAGGAGGTCCAGGGCTGACCCCCTCCCCGGGCTCCTGGCTGCAGCTTCCTGCCAGTATGGCTCTTGTGCGCAGCAGGCAGCCAGCTCAAGGAGCTGGGTTCTTGACGTCACAGGCAGCTGCCGGGCACGGCGACCCCAGCTCCTGGCTTCAGCCTGGCGCCCAGTCACGGCAGGCACTTGGGTGTGTCCCATGAATGGGAGCTCACCACTTCTCCATAGCAACAGCAGCCAAGGCAGACAACATAATCTGAGCTCCAAAGTAAACTCCCACGGTCCACACTGGTAGGAAGAACCACATGAAACAGGCAAGATTTACTAGGCAAGCTTTCATAAACTTCCACAGCCCCTCTGTCTGCCAGGGAATGGAATGGAACTGAGCAGAGCGGGCTGGGGAGATAGCGGGCTGGGGAGATGGCGGGCAGGGGAGATGGCGGGCAGGGAGGATGGCGGGCAGGGAAATGGCGGGCAGGGGGGATGGCGGGCAGGGAGATGGGGGAAGGGGAGATGGCAGTGAGGGGGGATGGCGGGCAGGGGAGATGGCGGGCAGGGAGTTGGGAGCCGCTGCCCGGAGTTGGGAGCCGCTGCCCGGAGCTGAGTCCTTGGCCCCCCGGAGCCCGCAGTGCAGCACTGATCTGTACACACAGTGCACCTTGTGCAACAAGTGCTGCAGATGGCACCCGGTTCTCCTCCCCAAATCCAAAACCCCAGGCAGGCATGAGAAAGTGTCCAATTCCAGCAGGGTTGTGTCACAGCACACCTGGCCAATGTCCCTCCTCGCAGCCCAGGTCACTGATGGCCAGGGAGGCCCAAGGACACAGAGGAGGGCAGCAGTGGAGTGATGGTGTGCAGGGGGACATCTGAGCCCACAGAGCTGCCACTGACCAAACCCGGAAGGAAGGGGCCAGCCTGAGTTGTCCCACGACCCCCAGCACCCCACCCTGAGCCCCATCTCACAAGCACGGGGTCCCTCCAAGGACAACAACCAGCGGCTCCCATGCTATACTGGTCTCTACACACATGCCTCAGCCTACCTCTACACTCCCCCACTGCCACCAGAACATGGCCCAGCCCCCCAGGAAAGGATCGTTCCAGAGCCGCGGGCCCAGGCAGAGCCACGGAGAGGAACCCTGGCCAGGGTGAGGAGGCCTCACCCCAACACACAGAGCAGGGGGAGCATCCTGAGGCTCACAGCATGGAGCTGATGGACGAGGTGCAACACGTGGGCACGCACACACGCGTGTGCATACAAGCACATGCACACACACAGACATGCAATGAGCACCCCTGCATCCACAGAGATGACGTGCACATGTGTATACGCACACACGCTGGCATGCACCTGCAGCCATTCAAGGAAAGCAGGCCACAGGTCGACTCAGACAACACTGGGGAAGAAAGGCCTGGGGTGCCTCACCCACCCCGGAAGGCTCCCACGGGACTGGCCCCCTCGGGAGCACATTCCCAGCAGAAGGACGCACTCCTCTGAGAGCCGCCCCTGCCCCAACCGGGACCGTGTGCCTGCCTCAGGTGGAGTGGGGGCAGCAGCCCCCCAGGAGTGCCCCTCCCCATCCCGGGCACACGGCATCACACGTGACGGCCTCTTGGCGGTTCCCTGCAGAAGCAGCAGCCCCCCGCGGTCCCCTAGCTCTCAATGACACCTCCCAGGAAGCAGAAACCAGTGCCCCCAGGAACCCAGGCCACCATCTTCTCCGGAAACAACGCAGCACCTTCAACAGCAGTGCTGGAAAGGGGGTTTTACATGCAGAAACCGGGGTGTCCCAGGGACCCCCAAACCTACTAGCAGGACCCGAGCTCTCACTCTGCTGCTGCTGTTGGCAGTGTGAATGTTCTGGAGTTCAAAGGGTTAAACAGGCTCTCGGGTCAGCACCGTGGTGTAGTGGGCTTGCCACCAGCAGCTTCAGCAGCCCATACAGGCGCCAGGTTGAGTCCCAGCTGCTCCACTTCTGATCCAACTCCCTGCTCCTGCGCCTGGGGAAGCAGCAGAGGACAGCCAGGTACCTGGGAGGCCTAAACGGACTCCTGGCTTCAGCCTAGCCCAGCTCAACCATTACAGCCACCTGGAGAATGAATGAGCCGATGGGAGGCCCCTCTCCCCTTCTCTCTGGAACCCTTTCCCATAAACCAGCCTTCACAAAAACACCAGAGCCTGCAGCCCTCACAGCCAGCCTCCCATGCCCTCGTGCCCGGTGCCTAGCAGTCTGGGCCCAGGGCACGTTGTCACATAAGGGCCTACCCAGGGTCCCTCTCAATAACACAGAACTCCAAGGTTGCTGCAGTCAAGACACACCTGTTATTCCTGACTCCGCCTCAACTGACAAGGGCAAAAACAAGTGTACAATACAGGGAGACCTAGGTGCCCCGAGGGGCAGTTGAAGGTAACCACAGCCAAGGATGACCACATAACAGCAGGCCACAGGTTCCCAGCTCCTTGCCACAGGCAGCCATCACCACCCCCTCGCCATGCCCTCGGAGCTCCAGGGGCACATCAGGTGCAGCAGCCCGCCTTTGTCCGGCGGGCGGGCTCAGAGCTGGCAATGTCCACGGTCTGGGCCGGCCCCTCTGCCCTCTGGTGATGGATCACTGGCACCACCATGTCAAACAAGGTCTCGAAGAGCAGGTCCACATTGTGGCCCGTCTTGGCACTGGTCTCAAAGCACATCTGCTCGGCGGCCGGCGCGTCCCTCTCATCCATCATCTTGTATTTGAGGATCTTCTTGTAGAGGGCCACCGCGTCCTCTGGCCGCACCTGCTTGGGCGCCCTGGATGGGGCCCCGCCCTCGGCGGCCGCCTGCTCCCGGCTCTCCCCTGGACCCTCACTACTCAGGTCCACTTTGGTCCCCACGATGGCGAAGAGGCATTCCTTGCTGGCCGTGTCCGTCAGGCCCAGGAACCTGTCCTCCAGCTCCACCAGGCTCTGCAGCTGATTGACGTCATACGTGAGGATGACGGCCACGGCCCCCCGGCAGTACATGGACCCCAGGCCGTGGAACTGCTCCCGCCCTGCAGGGAAGATGGGGAGGGAAGAAGTCAGCATTCCCCCCAGCCCTGGCCCTCGCCACAGGCCACCATCCCAGAGGGACCGGGACCCCAGGAGGAGAGTCTGCAGCCAACACACCAATGTCCAGTGCCAGGAGTTGAGTGACTAAGGCCTCCAGCCAATCAGAGCCCTGCACAGGTGCTGCAGCACCACCTCCTTCCAGGTCAGGAGGTGGCAGGTCCGTGACCCCAGGAAGGGGACCCCCCAAAGCCCAGTCAGGTACACAAAGCTGGGCACACCCAGCACCCTGCTGTTCCCATTCTGCTCTCTGCCAAGGCAGTGCCAGTCTTCCTTCTCACCCTCCCCCATCTAGAGCCACGGCCAAGGCAGAGGAGACCAGCACAGCAGACAGGGGCCCCGACCTGTGTCTCACCACAGTTATCTGTGCAACACCGCCACATCATGTCTGCTCACGCTGTAGCTGCAGACAGCAGGCCCTGCCTGTCGGGCTAAGACTTCTGCAGATGCCCCCTGCTGACCCCGACTGAGATCTCCAGCCACATACAGCCAGAGGGCAGGCTGGGCCTGCCGTCCCCACAGTCGGATCAACCGAAAGCACCCCATCAGCACCGCCTCCTCTCCCAGACGCAGGCATGTGCAGCCTTGCTCAGGGGCACGCCCACGTGGAGGCGGGCAGGCCTCACGGGATACCAGGCACCTGCTCTCTTCATCCCCGCGTCCTTGTGCTTGCAATTGCAAGGTGAGATGCTGCCTCCAAGGCAGAGCCATGGGGCATGGCAACTCTGTGCCATTCCTCAGACAGGAGTTTGCCCTGGGCACTTGCCTAGGCAACTCCCCAGTTTTGAATGCACAAAACTAATCCAGCCCTTTCCTGCAGCTCACCTGCAGCCAATGCCACACGCGCCTCCTCTCGCCAAGGGCCCGCATCCCGGGGCCGGCCAGCAGCCTGGATTCTCAGCCAGCGGCGAGTTCAAGGGTGTGAGCCAAGCACAAGGGCCACTGCACCCAGAGCAGGGGAGAGGCAGACTCCTCCCACCCTCACCCCTAGGATAGTCTGGCCACTCCCTCAGCCACTGCAGGAGCAGCGGGCGGCAAGCACAGCGAGCAGCCACGACACCTTCAGACATTCCTGATAGCCACGCAGTGGCCACATTGATGTCACGGCAGCCCTTAGACCTGTGCCCACCCCAGCTCAGCTTTTCACAGTCAACAGTGAACAGGACAGCCCCTATCACGGTGAAACAACTTCCACCAACTGCATCACAGTGCACCTGTCATCTTGGGAAGAGGGGAGCCGAGGAGCCCTGCCCCCCAGCGAGGAGCCCTTGCTCCCTGGACACAGATGGGCCTGAGGGTGTGATGCCCACACACCAACATTCACACCCAACAGCACTTTTGTAAGCAGACAGCCCACAGAGCACCACCAACTTCCACTCCCCCATCGGAAATGGCCTGATTCCGAAACCGACGCCTGGCACTGCAGGTCAGCCACCCCACCCGGGGCAGGCCCTGGGGAGAGGCACCTGCTGGACGCAAGCCCACGTCCCAGGAGTGCCAGCACAGGCCTGCTGACGCTGCCTCAAAGCAGGTGGATGACTGCGGCCGTCACCCTCAGCCCGAGGCAGAGGCAGCTGTCAGCCCTGACCCTTTCTGCCATCAGGATGAAGCGGCAGCACTGGGCCGTTGGGAGGATGGATCCTGAGCAGGTGCACGTCCTCCATCCGATCCCAGCTGGATGCAAGAGGGACAGCAACAAAGACCAGTCCCTGAGGTCGACCTGTGCTGCTTTGCCAGACCCCCGCTGCGCCTGAACGTGAGGTCCCCAGTGCCCTGTCCAGTGCTGTGTGAACGGGCACCCGCCTGCACGATGGGGCCTGGGTCTGTGAGCCCGGGGAGTGGGGGGCCAATTAGAGCCCCTAATCACCTGGCCCGGGTCCTTAGGCTCACCCACGAGAACTGGTCCTCCTCAATGGAAGAGATGGAGCGGTGGGCCTGATGCACATGGAGGACATGGCAGCCAATCGGGGCCCTACAGAGGACACCTGGTGCCATAGCAGAGGAAGGGGACAGAGTACATTGGACAACTACCCCAGCCAAACAACGACAGCAAATGTCTGGGCAAATGGAGACTCTAAGGTGAACTATGTCTGCCAGTGGACATTGGAAGGATTTCCTCATCCTTGGAGCAACACTACCGAAACCACTTGGGCAGAACCCTGGAGTGTGCGCCCCATCGGGGACCCCAGGTTGATATCAGGACCCTGCAGTGTGTGCTGCATTGGGGACCCCAGGTTGATATCAGGACCCTCGGAGTGTGTGCCCCATCGGGGACCCCAGGTTGATATCAGGACCCTCGGAGTGTGTGCCCCATCGGGGACCCCAGGTTGATATCAGGACCCTCGGAGTGTGTGCCCCATCAGGGACCCCGGGTTGATATCAGGACCCTCGGAGTGTGTGCCCCATCAGGGACCCCAGGTTGATATCAGGACCCTGGAGTGTGCACTGCATTGGGGACCCCAGGTTGATATCAGGACCCTCGGAGTGTGCGCCCCATCAGGGACCCCAGGTTGATATCAGGACCCTGGAGTGTGCACTGCATTGGGGACCCCGGGTTGATATCAGGACCCTCGGAGTGTGCGCCCCATCGGGGACCCCGGGTTGATATCAGGACCCTCGGAGTGTGCGCCCCATCGGGGACCCCAGGTTGATATCAGGACCCTGCAGTGTGCGCCCCATCGGGGACCCCAGGTTGATATCAGGACCCTCGGAGTGTGTGCCACATCGGGGACCCCGGGTTGATATCAGGACCCTCGGAGTGTGCGCCCCATCGGGGACCCCAGGTTGATATCAGGACCCTCGGAGTGTGCGCCCCATCAGGGACCCCAGGTTGGCATCAGGAGGCTGTTACCCATCCCTGAGTACTGGGGTAGCTGGGTGGCTGGGTATGGCTTCTCCCCTTCCACCAGAAATGGGAAGAAGAAATAAAAAATTTGACAGTGGTCTCACCCACTTTGCTCTAACCCTCTATCCTTCCCACCCTAAACTATATCAACATTATCAAAAATTAAAATAAAAAATTAAAACACCCCAAGCCCTGACTTCCGAGCTTAGGAAGCAGGGTCCAGCGGAATGCAGCTGTCACCGGAGCCTCAGGAAATCCCTGGAGGTTACCTGAGCATAACCACCTCTCCACAGCAGGAGCCACACACGGCAGGGTCAGACAAGGAGCAGCTCTGGACGTCTGGCCCCAAACGCAGGGAGAACAGGAAACTTCCATCTCAGGAGGCCCCGCAGAGTTCTAACAGGAATTAAAAGCTTGTCCCATGGGGCCGATGGCGTGATGCATACAGGCACTGGCTCGTGTCCCAGCTGCTCCACTTCCCACCCAGCTCTCTGCTTGTGGCCTGGGAAAGCAGCAGAAGATGGCCCAAGGCCTTGGGCCCCTGCACCCGCATGGCAGACCTAGAAGAGCTCCCGGCACCTGGATTTGGACCTGCCCGGTTTCAGTCCTTGTGGCCATGTGGGAAGTGAACCAGCAGGTTAAAGATCTCTGTGTTTCTCTCTGTAAAATACGCCCTTCAAATACAAGTAAATAAAAGCTTTTCCTGACATTCCCATCCAGCACTGGGATGTGTATCTGAGGAGGGCCTGGTGTGTCTGTGTGTGACTGTGTGTATCTTGGTGTGTGTGTGTGTCTGTGTGTCCCAGTATGTGCCTGTATCTACATGTGTCAGTGCGTATCTGTGTGTATCTCGGTGTGTGTCCGGGTAGGTGTCATAGCCACGGCCTGGCTGTGCCCCTCTATCCAGGCACTAATGTCCTTCAAGGGAAAGAACAAAGCAACAAAGACACGGTACACAGGAGGCCACCCGGGGCCCGGCCCCAGACAGCAGACTGGAGCTGCCACCAAGGCTCCCGAGGCGCCGGCGGGGCAGAGCCGGCCTGCAGAGCTCCCCAGACTGTGAGGCAGGCAGCTTCTGGGGCATCGGGC